AAATCCACCCCCACCGCCAGCGGCTCCGCCCCCGTCCGCTACGCGATCCGCCAAGTCCTAGACCAAGAATACCGCAAAGAGAACATCCGCAAGCAATCGGAAACACTAACGACATCCAATATCGGCAAAAAGTCCTCCGGCAAGACCGCCGATGGACAATCTAGGGATGATGGCGATGCGAAGAAGAAGACCGCACACGGGCTGAACGTGAAGCGCGACTTCTTCGGCAGAGTCATCAAGGAGCCCACACCACCGCCGTCAGATGAGGCGCCCGAGACGGCGAAGCAGAATGAGACGTTGAAGGCGGGCAGACGCGTCTGGGTGACGTACCATGATGGGTTTTCAAATGCAGTCAGAAAACCGATTTCGATGGGCGAGTTGTTGGCGGAGTTGTAGGGTGCATTGTGCGCAGAGTGGGTGGGTAATGATTACGATTTGGCATTGTGTATAACTTGATATCCGGTAGCTTATGCTTTAAATGGTAGATACTACTTCTAGATTGAATTAAAGCGTTTATTCATTTGAATAATTTCATAGTTACAGACAAATGATAGTTTATAACTAACACATCAATCGATCACATGACCGATTTCGATGATGGTCATGACTAAGCACGCCGCCAAGCCGGCAGAACGAGCGACCGCCTTCCCATGAATTTTTTTTTTAATGATAGAAAAATATCCCCGAGATCGAGACCCATCGCGACATTTGCACTTGCATCAACTTCCCCCCAGCATATCGCAACAATGGTGTCTTCGACGGCGCTAACGACGAAGGTGACTTCGGGATCACCCTACCAGTTGGAGAAGACTCAGGTATGCCTCCTTCCCCCAATTCTCATGCATGCACTGCATACCATAACTATATTCCTCATTACATACATCCACAATTTATCTCTATTAAAAATAATACTAATATATTTTAAAACAGGTCTCCCGCGCCTCCACGGCCCTACTCAAACACATCGCGACCAAGCAAGATGAGAAAGAAAAGACGGCCACGAAGAAGACGCTTATCGGCGACAACGACGACAGCGACGCGGAAGAAGGCAGCGCCCTGCACAACGAAGCGATCTGGCTGGTCTTGACAACGAAGAAGCACATCGTGGACAAGAACCGTCTGAAGCCAGGCAAGATTCCGATTCCGCACAGCCTGAACGCCTCTCCCTCTCTCAGCATCTGTCTCATTACCGCGGACCCCCAGCGCAGCGTGAAGAACATCGTCACGGACCCGTCGTTCCCTGCACACTTGTCATCGCGCATCGAGCGGGTAATCGGATACTCGAAGCTGAAGGATCGGTACAAGAGTTTCGAGAGCCGGAGACAGCTGCTCGCTGAACATGATGTGTTCCTGGCTGATGATCGGATTATTATGCGGTTGGTGAATACGCTCGGCAAGGTTTTCTACAAGAGTAGTAAGAGGCCGATTCCGGTGCGGATTGCGGAGATTGAGAAGGTCGATGGGAAGAAGGTGAAGAAGGATCCGAAGGTTCGGAATGCTAGGAAGGTGGAGGGTGAGGGGGATAAGGAGAGTGCGTTTGCGACGCCGGCGATTGTGGCTAAGGAGATTGAGAAGGCGTTGAACTGTGCGCCCGTGCATTTGGCGCCTGCTACGACGGCGGCGATCCGTGTTGGGTCGAGTAAGTTCTCGGCTAAGCAGGTGGCGGAGAATGTGGAGGCTGTTGTGAAGGGGTTGACGGAGAAGTTTGTCACCAAGGGGTGGAGGAATATTAAGGCGTTGCATATTAAGGGGGCTAATACGATGGCAATGCCGATTTGGTTGGCTAGTGAGTTGTGGGTTGAGGATGGGGATGTTGTTGAGGAGGAGGAGCAGACTCCTGCTGTTGAGGCGGGTAAGAAGCGCAAGCAGATTGGTGATGCTGAGGAGGAGAAGGTGATTGAGGAGGCGCCGAAGAAGACCAAGAAGGCTAAGGCTAAGGCTGCTCAGGATGATGAGGAGACGCTGTCGCTGGCTGCTAGGAAGGAGAAGCTTCAGAAGCAGAAGGCTAAGGCGTTGGAGGATGGTGCGGTGGCGGTTCCGCCGGCGGCGACTGGTGCTGGTAAGAAGAAGAGAAAGTCGACTTCTTGATTGACAAACTGCTTTTGCTGGGTTTATGTCCGGGCTGTATTGAATAGCAATGGGTGTCTCTTTTGTGTTTTACTCCGGCGGCGCGTGTTAGTTTCTTTCTTCTTGTTCATACATCGGGGCTTAATCAATACCCTTGGTCGAATAAAAGTTATGTATAGACGTGCTGGTGTTCTGATCGTAGTGTCTTGTAGATTGGGTTCTTACCATGAAGTTCAGACGATGCTTGAACAGGCGTACAACATTAATACATAATGGCATTGGTATATCTATCACCTCACCCTCCCACCCACATCATACAAAAGCACAAACATGAACATAAATCAATCACTGCTTCAGCTTCTCCGTCAACTCGGGCACCTTCTCAAACAGATCCCCAACCAGACCAACATCGGCAACCTGGAAGATCGGCGCATCGGGGTCCTTGTTGATCGCAGCGATGACCTTACTATCCTTCATACCCGCCAAGTGCTGAATAGCACCCGAGATACCGGCACACAGGTACAACTGCGGTGCGACGTTCTTACCCGTCTGTCCGACCTGCAGACTGTTATCCGCGAAGCCACTGTCCACAGCAGCACGGGAAGCACCAATGGCAGCGCCCAATGTATCAGCCAGAGGAACGATAACGCGGTCAAACTCCTCCTTGGACTTGAGACCACGACCACCGGAGACGACACGGCTGGCGGTACCAAGGTCCGGACGCTCAGACTTGGCGAGCTCCTCGGACACCCATTCGGTTTGGGCGGGGGTGTTGGGGTCGACGCCCTCGGTGACGGAGGCGCTGCCCCCGGTGGTCTCAACGCCTTGGAAGGAGGTGCCGCGGACGGTGAGGATCTTGATGGGGTCGGTTGACTGGACGGTCAGGATGGCGTTACCGGCGTAGATGGGGCGGACGAAGGCTGTTAAGTTAGCTTATTGGTATACTGCTGTATATGAATGGTGTGTCTCCGACACCGGAGCAAATTCCCACGCCCGGGATTTGGAAAGGGGAAGAGGGACATACTATCTTCACTCTCGATGCCCGTGATATCCGAAACCTGCTGCACATCCAACAGAGCAGCAACACGAGGCAGAAGACTCTTTCCGAACGCCGAGTGGCCAGCCACGACGTGCGTGAATTCTCCCTTCTTGATGTTCTCGACGAGCAACGGGGCGTAGTTCTCGGGGAGGCCCTATACCGTGACTCGTCAGCACTTACCCTCCCCGTTTACTTTATCCAATAAGGGAGAAAGGCAATTGAAGTACCTTCTCGTAAGCGTCATTCTCCACCGCCAACACCTTGTCCAGACCCTTAATCTGCGCCGCCTCGGCAGCAGAGGTACCCTTCACACCAGCACCCGCCACAAAGGCTGTCACGGGACCACCGAGCTTCTGAGCCGCAGCGATAGCGGACAAGGAGGAGGGCTGGAGCTTGCCATCGCGCTGTTCGAGGACGGCGAGGGTGGAGAGAAGGCGGGCAAGCGCGGAGGTGGTGGTGATGCTGGAGCGGGGTGCTGTTGTGGCGCGGAGGGCGCGCAAGGCGGAGAGTCTTGCCTGCGGAAGGAGCATGATTGTATTCTGTGTATATATCTGTTTGTTGTTCTGGGGGTGAGGGGGAGGGGGAGGATGGTGGTGGTCAAGAGGGGAGAGGAGTCATTTGAAGGCGGAGAGGAAGAAGAAGAAGCAGAACTTAAGGTTATCGTCGGATTTCCCGCCAAGCTTGTGTCGCCGATCCGTCGGAGTCTTCGGCTTAGCGTCTGCCTCGGTGCGATGCAGGCGCGGATATGCTCGGTTGGTGATGGAGATCTTGTTTTGGAATGTGCTTTTACGTCATGGGTGGTTTTTCCACATAGGATTTATTGAGATGGTATGGTAGAATTGGGGTTTGAGGGTTTATGCAGTGGTTGGTGATTCGGCGATGGTACATGTCCAAGTAGTAGAAGGGGACTAGTTATAGTGGGAAGTAATCATTCACATGTCAATCCTCTCTACCAACCACAATATAACCGGGGCTGATATAGGCTATTAAGCACGTCTTATTGATGGCCAGGTACCCTATTTACTTCTCAGACCACTATTTACTCTTGAGGAGATGGTCATACAACTCCGCCAGTTGACGAAGTGGCATTCGGCGATCGAGGAATAATGCCGAGGGTTCAATATCGACGGTCTACACATTGAGTCGACAAGACAACTAATCTTAAAGAAACCCCATGCCTTCTCTCATCATCTTACTGCATAGAAAGATAACCTTATAACATTTCATAGCCTATTAGGCCAGTTTTCTCACTGTTTGACCATTCAGCATTGACATCAAACCATATCGGCTTTATGGGGAAATGCCGACTAGAGCAGATTTGGATGCACCAACTGAATGGTAGCAGATTTCGACCAGTCCTTGCTATTCTGTTCAGCTTGGACAATTCCTGTCTTATCTGTCTTGTAGTTATTTTGTGACCCCATGAAGTGGTGAAGCAATGCCCAACACACTACCAATCTTGAAAAGTGCGGAAATTCACAAAGTTATTAACAAGGACTGGACAAACCGTCCGAAAGACGAATGGTGGGATTTGGACGTCACTTCTTCACTGACTGTCGGCTTCTCTCTCACATAAAAGTAAGTGAGCATCCAGTGCAACAATCGCCAAAGAAGGAGCGGGTTGAAAGCATCGGTGAGAGCACCGACTTCGCGACAAGGGCAGAGGAGATCTTCGTTTAGTTGGCACCGGCGATGTGCATTGTATTGCATGAATAGAATGCTGATATTATATAAGTAAGTAGAGCAAAGATGGTTATGTCTCTTTAATTAGCGTATCCAGTGCGAATAGCTAGGCTATGTGGGGATAGACAATGCTATGACTAGGTCACGTTCACACGGAGTGATTTGCCTACCAATTAGAGTGAAATGCTGCAATACATGTCTCTGCTGGGTCAGTTGTTCACCTTCAACAGTCTGAGCCAAACACAGTCATAATTTTGAGTGGCCGTATTGGCCAGTGGAGCCGATATACCCAGCTATAGAGTAAACTTTGGACTTTGAATAGCATGGCAAAACCGTCAGTTGCTTCCTGCCTGAACAGTGTACAGAGCAATGCTATTGGTCCGGCTGGGATAATCTCAAACAGCGATAGGCTGCTCACTTTCGAAAGAACGGAAAGGTTCTGGGCGTTGTAGTCGGCAAAAGTACCGGTCTTCTCCCTTGCCTTGCCACTGACTTCGATGCGTCCCCGGTTCAAACTCACTTTGCGATCCAGCCCTCGCATCTGCCTTCATACCACGATAGTCCATCTGCAAGCATGGGCTGCTCATGCAATCGCGTTCCGGATCTAATCCCCACGCCAATGAAGAGGTTGGTATTGCCACATCTGCCTCGCTTCCAGGCCGCAGGCTTCCGGGTATTATCCGTTCCAAGGCACAGTCGTCTCTTGCATCGGAGGAAATGAAGACTTGCATATTGCATCATAACACAGGATCTGCACGGGGTCGAAGGCGAGGGATATGAGTCATCAAGCCGTGATTGTCGACTTCGATTCACGCTGTGCCATTGTTCGCTAGACTTGATGGTCAAAATGTCCGATAAAGTCTCTGCTCAAGTCAAAACAAGAGATTCTTTATTCACTCGGCTACTCTCATGTCTCCCATTAGAACAATCGCCAAGCCACCTGTGAAAGACAACCAAGTACCCAGCAGCATGGCAAACTTAATTTCTCACGGGCCAAGTTCCGGATAGGTTCCGCGATAGGCGGGTTGTTCAAGAGTCCCTTGCATGTACCCATGGACGCGAACATCGTGGGACTGCCAAGGGTTCCAGAATTCCACATGCTGTATAGTAACCACTTTGTATTGAAGGCCGCCATTGTTCATTTGTGGTTGCTTGGTGTTGCAACTGTACAGCCAAGATAGTGCAATCGAGGCCTAGAATTCAAGGCGACGAGGCAATGAGCCAGTCAGGCTGTCGCAGGGATGTGTCCATGTTGTTTGCTTCTAAACTCATGACCTGTAAAAAGTGGATAAAGAAACAACAGAGCCGGCTCTGACACCGACACATCATTGACAAAGACATGAGACGTCAGTCATTGAGTCACTCAAGCATGCGATTGGAGAAGGCTCATTAGTGTGAATTCGGCCAATCCCGCAACGGATGCAACTATTGGCCTAACTGCTGGTTGTTAGTAACAGTCGACAGTCCCAACCACTCCACAGCGACATTCAGAAGATAACGAACAAGCCTCGCATTTAGTCTAACGTTGTGGGTATCAAGCGCTCAGCCCGAGCCATTCGTCCAGGAGAGGCTCGGAAACCCCTATTTGCACTTAAGGGGTAGTAGTAGTTGCAAGTATCGAACCCAATCTTGAGTCAATGATTTTCCAGATGGCTGCCGATATTCATTAATTAGGCACCGTGCGTGACGTCTGACCGGTGAACAGGATGCAGCGATATTCTTTGCTCCAAGCTAACTATTCAATTCGGCTGGACGGGGCGGAAACCGAACAATTGCTCCAACTGTCTCCGACGGATTAAATCTAGTGGAATAGCGGAGAAAGTAACGGAACTTGGGATGGCTCAGGTACAGCTGCACAATGATAGGACAAAGACATCGGTGCCTGAAACAGTTCCGGCTTTAGTTGCTTGCTGTTACTCCGTTCAGCGCGCGTCCCATAGACGTCTGCAGTCCCGACGTCAAGTGACTAATCGGGGAAAAGAGACCCTCAAGTCGGCGAATCATTGGTAGAACACACCAATACAGCATCATCTCTGGTACCACATTTTGGACAGGGACACGTCAATAGCTGATGCGTTGGGAGCTTAGTTCGATATAAGAATTCAATAGTCGAATGTCAATATGGCGGGTGGGAGGAGACTATTAGTCCACGGGAGGAGACACGGGCGAGGCGGATGCGTGGAAATAAGTTGTGAGCTGTCGTCGAGATACCGAGTTGGGCGTAGTGACTGAGCTTCACCCGTGGACTTGTCCATTCAAGAACGTTCCAACTCTCCGGACTGGCTCAGGAAGAAAGATCACTCATGTAAGGTCCAAAAGCTTCTTGTCCCCACTATAGGCGGCCAAATAATTCTGGTGATTGTTTATCGAGCAGTTGAACATGCAGAAAGGCACCGCACCACCCACTCCACCTAATTCAATTGAGCGCTCCGATCTCCTCCTCGGTTCACCCATCCAGATTGCGGAGAAGCAGCGATGACTACTATCAGATTGGTTGAACTGATAGGCATATCCGATAGATAGGCTTCTTCGCAGGCACTTAGCATCAACTGAGTACGTAAACGGCGGATACAAGCCGCGCAAGCAAACCAGCAGCCAGTCACTACCGCGCTTCTCCCTTTTGTTGTGAGCTCCGTGTTAACCGGTGCTAATGAGTCGGTCTTGGCCGCATTGGGGGTTGGAGTCTCCAGTTGCCAAGCTTTTGGACCAGGACGCCATCGGACGAGATTCACTTTTTTTGCGCTGTGTCTCTTTTCACTTTATGCGGCGATAAGCATGGATGGAATGGGGCGGATCCATCACTGGCTTAATACGGGAGTAGTTGGAGTGGTTAGTGTAGTTATTTAGTTGGTTGGTCAGTATGGAGTACTAGTAGACACTGTCACCGCTCATACGGTATGATTACCACTATGGTATCTACCGGTGCAGTCTCAGTCAGGGGTCCAATAGTAATCTATCGCAAAAGGGTCCGTCAGACTCCAGAACCCCTTGGTTGCGGGCGCAATGACCAGGAAGAAGACTTGGCCCGGGGGCTGAGGGGCTGAAAGCCTGAAAGGACCTTTGGAAAGAGGCTGGTGGTGTCAATCCAGGAGATCCTCGCCTGCTTTCTTCGTCTCATAGGCTGCTCTCTCGTATTACTGTTTGGTGCCTGAGGTGCCTCAACGCAAAGGAATCCATGTAAGTAGGAATATCCCCTCCACAACCAATTAGTTGGACGCTAGGTTTAATGACAGTCTTGGCCAGGCAGGACTCGTACAATAGCCGGGCGACAACAACAATGCTGTTTTGTTGGGCGCAGCTCCAAAACCCACGACAACATCGCAGCATACCCGACCAGTCTGTTGGCGAAATTCTGATCAATACTAAGCAAACTCAAGACGAAGAATATGCGGTGGCAATTATCACTGGCGTGGAGCGGAATCGGCAAGGTTGGTGGTTACTCTATCGCAACGCCGATGGAAAAAAAGACCTGGGACTTTGGAGACACTAGATTCCGTAGAGGCCGTAGTACAGGCTGACACGACTCGGCATCGCCTGCAAGGGCCAGATATCATTAAAGGAGGCCAAATCGGACCAAACAACGAGTGTCGCACTTGAACAGATAACCAACACATTCATCGTGGGATCTGCGTGTCAAGCTAACGACCAGTCAATCAGTGGTGAAGAGAATCCCGGTAGGGCGGGGATAGATGTTCGAAATCCTCCGATACTTCTCGGCAGATATCTATGTGGGATCTTTGGCGCCTGAGCTACACTGCTACCAACGCCGAGCCCATCAAAGATATTGTAAACATGTGTCAAGTCGCGAAGAATACAAGAGGGGCGCTATCAATGAGATTCGATTGAAAGATTCCGCGATTGTTGCATATAATACCGATAGATACCTAGCCATGTCAGGTAGCGTCGCCTTGTCGGGGGTACCTTGCCACGTCGATGCAGGAAGATATCCGTTTGGACCAGGTGTACTCTGTACCTGCGTATGTACCCGTGGTCGGACAACCAATGAACACAAGGCTGCGAAATACCGCATCGTTGTTGATAGTAGTGGTATTGTGTAGATAGACAGTTGTTCCAGGATGCTATGTAATTGAGACGTGTAGTGTATTGGATAGCGCTCGGCTTCCTCTTTCCTCAAGAGGCGGTATTGTCTCTAATTAAAACCAATAGCCAATAATATACCAACAACCAACTACTTACTACTTAATACTAAGTACTGATCAAGTCAACGGCATCGTGAAAACATCTCTGAAAGGCTTCTTGTATTGAAATGACGACATGTGGGATGAGCAACCAGTCCAGACGAAGCCAGGGTCTCAGGTAGTCATTCTGCAAGTTGAGATTAACGTCTCCGTGCTCCGCAACGGGCTCTAGTCGGTGGAAACCAGGCCGTAAGAGAAGTCACCTGTTCCAGGCCAGATCGTACGTAGGGAAGTGAGAGACACTCTTAATATTGTTCTGCATGATGTGCACTGTCTATTACTACTATAAAAAGTGGGCACCAGGCCGGGAAAATCGTTTGAAAGTAATGGCCTGTATCCTTTCCGTAAGTCTGTCGTCGCAGGCGGGGTAATATGACGAGAACATTGACGACGCAACAACGGATAGAACAATATGATCATAGATTAGGCAGCCACTTCGCCTAATTGCTCGAACATGAGGGGAATCGGTGACATCCGAATCAGATGGAGGGAATTCCCGCACTCCGCCGGGGAGATGTGTCAGCCAGATTGATTGATTGATTGATTGATGAACTGGCCCCGTTCCATTCAGTCAACAAAGGTGTATTTATGGAACACTTGATGAGGGAAGTACAAAGCAGGCTGGGTCATGGTTTCGGGGCTGAAAATATCTTTACCGCCCGTCAAACCCGACTGGAACAGTGAGCAGACTCAGTCGAGGACTACTGGTAGGTAGTAGGTGAGTGCTAAACTGCTAATATTACTTACAGTACTCCCCCTACTGCAGGCTAACATTGAGATCCGACATGAGACATTCCCTGGTAGGCCAAATTGTGGCAATGGTTCGGCAGCACAGGACCCGATGATTGGTGTACCTGACCGGGGAGAAGGTTTGATGGCCCACCGGCTGGTGCCCGAGAGCCGGTTATGAGTGGCCAGCGAGACACAGTAATTTCGGTAAACGCCAAGCTCACTTTCAGGAACAGGAAGGCCCCAAAACACAAAAAAAGAAAGAGGAACCAGCAGAAGATGAAAAAAACGTAAGGGTTTCAAAGGGGAAAATCACCGCCGTGGCCCAGAAAAGCCCCAAGGCTGCTGGCTTGCTGGCTTGCTGGTCCAGTGGTCCAGAGCCCAGGCGGTTCCTGTCTATTCTATCCACTTGTCTCCACCCACAGCTGCAATTCTCAGCGGTTCTCACGAGTCACGTTGCGCCGTCCATGTTGACTTTTTTTTATTTTAACCCCGGTGGTTTCTTGGCCTTCTTTCTCCAGTGCCGCGCCCCCCTGTCCATCGCCTGACCATCACAACGGTAGGGAAAAGAAAAATCGGGTCTGAGATCCTTTTGTCAGTGATCTCTCTCTCTTTCTTACTACAGAAGTATTCTCGCCCCTTTTCAAAACCGTGCCCGTAGATAGATTCTTTTATACCCTTTCCCGCGCTCTCGTCCCATAATAGTAGTACTCCATACCCGTCCGTCCCTGATTTTTCTCGTCGGGAGTAGAGTTACCGTCCTGCGACAATCAGTAATGTTTTTTATACTCCGTAGCTTGACACAAAAATAGGGATTATTATTGCCCACCCCCGAAAGGAGAAGAGGACAATACCGCGCAGATACTACAGATACGGACAACTGTAACAAGCTAATTTCCAACGCTAAAAGGCTAATAGCCCACACTAACTCAACCCGATGTCTTGAGCCTTCGGGCTGTGGGCCCCCCTAATGATTTATTATGATTATTTTTGTTATTTTATTAGTATTCCCATTATTTCCCTGCCTGTGAATTTTATTCTTTTTTGGTTAACCATCCACTCATTCAGTCCAAGTGCCACCCTCTCTCTCTTCCTCTCACTTACTTTCTCACACTCTCTTTCTTGGTTCCTTTGGTTCACCCCCTGGAAAAAAAAGGTCAGCGCACGCCTTCCTTGTCCCTCCTGCCCACATTCACACTAAGCTAGTCTATCACCTCTTGCCCACCCACTCCCTCCCCCCCCCCCCCCTGGTCCACGGCGCGAACTAAACCTTTACTTACTCCTTCATCTCCCTCCCGATTTCCCTTTTCTCCCTCGAGATCCCCCCTCCACATTTTCTTGCCTCCCTTCCCCCCCAGAGCGTTTCATCTTCGGCCCTTCGCCTGCTCTCCTTCGCGAGATTTCCTATCCGACCTGAGAGAACTAGCTTCTCTCTCGTACGCTCTTTTGGGAACCTGTTTCTCTCTTCTCTTTCACTCTTTAACTCTCATACTCTATTCTAGGCAACTTGCTTTGTCTCTGCCAGACTTTTAGCAACCCCTGCCCCACGAGGACTTCGATTCGTGTACAGACTTTTTGCAAGAAGCGCGCGACTGGCTTGCTGTGAATTTGGTATGTCTCCTATCATGTGCACCTCTCCGAAACACCTGGGATCACCCAGCACATACAATAGCAGTGCAGCTCTTGGTTCTCTTGTATTACGCTGTGAAGAAAGCAAGCACATACATGGCTAGTGCCTAGTATCGAACAGACCGGCTTGTGGTCAATGGAGGTTGAGCGCATGCTAATATGGGATCCCGTGGTTTATATAGATTAGATCCACATTCTGACGCAACACTGAACAGCTTGCGACCCCGTGCGAATTAAATAACCGACACGATGAAGTTCAATACTGTCGCCCTCACCCTGGCTACCGCCGGTACCCTGGTGTCCGCTCAGCACCACCACCAGCACCGCCATCACCACAAGCGCTCCCCCGACACCGAGGTCGTCACGGTGCCCGGTCCTACCGTCACCACCTTCGTTCTCGACGGCAAGGTCATTACCTATGAGGAGGCCTGCGCTGGTATCCGCAAGGGAACTTTGCAGTTCTCTGGCAACGTGCCTGCGGATGTTTGCCAGTCCTCTTCTTCTACTGTGGCTTCGAGCACCACCAGCCCGACTCCCACGGCTTCCGTCCAGGCTGCTGCTGAGTTCATCGAGGTCGCCGTCCAGCACTCGTCGAGCTCCAGCTCCAGCTACAGCTCCAGCAGCACCAAGACCAGCAGCTCGTACGCCGTTGCCTCCTCCAGCTCCTCCGCCAGCAGCTCTAGCAGCAGCTCCTCCTCTGCCACCGGTGTGGACAAGGAGTTCCCCGATGGCGAGCTTGACTGCGACACCTTCCCCTCTGAATATGGTGCCGTTGCCCTCGACTACCTTGGCCTTGGCGGTTGGTCCGGTATCCAGTACGTGACCATCGTCGACGAGGTTGTTGACACCATCGTTACCGGTGTCACCGGTGATTCCTGCACTTCCGGAGCCATGTGCTCCTATGCCTGCCCTGCCGGATACCAGAAGTCCCAGTGGCCCAGTGCCCAGGGTTCTACCGGCCAGTCCGTTGGTGGTATTGAGTGCAAGAACGGCAAGCTCCACCTTACCAACAAGTCTCTGTCCAAGAAGCTTTGCATTGAGGGTGTCGGAGGTGTCCACGTGAAGAACACCATGAGCGAGGAGGTCGCTGTTTGCCGTACCGACTACCCTGGTAAGCATTGAACTTCCCTTCCGACATGTGGGTCAAAACAAAGTCATTAATCATGTATACAGGTACCGAATCCGAGACCATCCCTCTCGCTGTCGCTGGCAACAGCGAGCTCCACCCCCTGACTTGCCCCAACGGCGCCACCTACTACAAGTGGGAGAATGAGACTACTTCCGCTCAGTACTACGTTAACCCCAAGGGTGTTTCCACCGAGACTGGTTGCCAGTGGGGTAACGGCAGTGCTCCTATCGGCAACTGGGCTCCTATCAACCTTGGTGTCGGTTACAACGATGGCAAGTGGCTTTCTCTGTTCCAGAACAGCCCTACCACCACCACCAAGCTTGACTTCAACGTGAAGATCCAGGGTGACAACCTCAGCGGTTCTTGCAAGTACGAGGATGGTACCTTCTACTCCGAGTCTGGCTCCAACGACTCCGGTTGCACTGTAAGTGACCTGCATTCATCTCCTCTCTTTTTTTGCTGGGATCTTTTGCTGATCATCATTCACCTACAGGTTGAGGTTCTCTCCGGCTCCGCCACCTATGTCTTCTACTAAGATAGTCGAGGGCCCGATACCCACCCGCCGTCGCCGTACGATTCGGTTCGCATCCGCTAATTTGAATCGAACCCCGTTGGCTCGCAAATAGAAGAACTTTCATGCCTCTGTTCATTCTGTTCATGATTCTCTGTCCAGTGCGGTTGCTTTCTTCTCTGTATCTTACTATATTGTCCTATGTGGCTTGGAAAATATAGCACCTGTCACATATGTCGCGTCGCCATTCCCTTGATGGAGACGATTGTGGTTAGACCTTACCTTCTCTACTGCAAAGTAACACTGATTTTCGTCCTTTTCAGCCGCACTTTTCTACCTTATTCCCCCCCGTGAGCAGCCAGATTTGCTCGTCATGTTATAAGTTAGCAATGCCTTGTATAGTAGTTTTGTTTATGTCAGTTGATTAAAGATGGTTTTAATTCTTTCTGTACCGATCTGATACCATCTGGGTGCATGGACGCCGTATTTGTGACCGCGTAGGGCGACAACTAGCTTTTTAAGAAGGGCGGCCCTACGAAAACTGGCGGGTCCCACCCCCAGCCTCCTGAGTTTAAGTGAAAGCAGGTGTGTCAGGGCTGGTATGTAGATTATCCTTCGATAGAGTGCTCGGGAGGCGGTGGAGGTGCATTCCAGGGCGGCATCCACCTGCGTCATGCACGGTCTGATGTGTCCATCTATCTATCAGATATCGGTGACCTTGGAATGTGCATAAGTGGAGCCCCCGATCGGTCGGTGAGTTCTTCAGGGTTCTGTCACCGGTGATGTGTGGCATGTCAGAAGTGGGCTGGGGTTTGGCATTTCAGGTCCGTCAGATCAATAATTAGTATTCATCATGGTTCTTTGAAGTTCTATAGTGGGTTAAGCTGTTTCGATCGCCACTTAAGTAGTCATTGTCCTCATTTCCTGACTAATGGATTGTATCATTAATGTTACATTGTAAAGTGAGATTTAAGTAACAGAGACCAACTGTTATGGTGGATTGGGGGCGCAATTGCAACAATTTGTTCGGGAAGGGTACTACTACTACTGCTACTGAAGTAAGTATATACTTACCGCAATGAGGGGTGATGATGCCATGGAACCAGCGATTGGACTATACGTTGTGACTTCTATCACACCAGAAAGAGGGTTCATCTTGCCGGGTGTATTTTCCGGGCCCGTACCTGGCCCGATGATGAGACCATTTATCAAGTTCGAGCCTGCGTAGGTAGTATTCTGGTGGATGCCATCAGGGGCAGTTGAAGTCATCCACCCCATTGAGGACTGTTCACGTCGCACGCACTAGTCCGGATGGGGATAGCGAGTCACGATCTGTACGAAAACCCTGCAACGGGCACATGGCTTTACTATTTTGGGTAAGGCCTCGACTGGTCATTGGCCGAGGCTGGGTGTCCAGCACCACGTGATCAGGCGCGCCATCACGGGGCCCGAACCAGAAAACGCGGAGCACATGACTCCTAGACGCGGAGACGCGCCTCGTTCCTGCCTGGGGTGTCGAGGGTTGTGTATACCGAGATTATAGACTAGCCAACCTCTCCTCCCTCCGTTAGACACGCAGGGGAGTGCTGGAACTCAGAGAGCCGCCAGGGTTGATTTACCTTTTTTTCACACCTGTAAGCAACCGGAGTCTGGCATATTTTGGCAAACTTCCCTTCCACCCAAGTCAGCAGTGCATTGCATAGTTTCGGACGGTCCAAGTTGCGAGGCTGCGCGAGCTTAGTGGTGGAGCTCTCGACCCTCGTCGGCGCCTATCGAACGCGTCTCGGGTTGTAAGCGTGCATTTCCGCGCTGGACGAGACGCTCCGTTCCGGCAGGCATTCCACCACACACCATCCTTTCACCCTTTTCTTCAATGTTTCTCGTTTTTTGCCTGTTCGTACCCAGTTTCGTACTTCCCCAACCTCCTGGCCCTCGTCTTGGGGGGTGAAGCCTCAAAGTTCCTTCCCTTTGTCATCCTTGACACGCTTCATCTTGTCTTTCTCTCTCTCTCTTTCCTTCGGGACCCCGAGTCTCGTGAATTGACTCCCACCCCATAGAATTAGACATTCCTCCCCCAACCTTTTCTTCCTCGACGCGACGAAAGCCTCAATTGATCTTTTTTAATCCTCGTCCACCCCTCTTGCCGTTGTTCGAGTCGTATACGAGCGTGTCCGGGTCGTGGTTCACGACCAGACGGCCTTAACTTCAAATTGATAACATCATGGAGTCTTCGCCTCCAAGGAGCAGTTTGGCTGCTCCGGTGGCAGGTGTGAAGCGTCCTGCGGCCTTGTTGCCTGCCTTTGAGCCATTGAGCTCCTCTCCCTCACTTCCTCGTCCACAGAAGCGTGTAGCACGCGACAATCATGGCATTGTCTCGACTTATCCTACGCCGGTGCCGACCTCGTCGACCCATATCTTGTCCTCCTCCCCCCCGAGAATGGCCCTGCCGCGAACGGCCTCACGGCGTACGTTTACTTCGTCCAGCTCCGAACGAACCCCTCTGTCTGCTGTCCCTACCATAACGCTTCCCGAGAGCGGGGAGCCCGTCCTGATGGGAAGGTCCAGTGCCTCGTGCCATCACCAGCTCGCGGCCAACCGTATGATATCGAGGGTGCATGTCAAGGCTACTTACAAGCCCGCAGCTAATCCCTTTGACCCTGATAGAGTGGAGATCATGTGCATGGGATGGAACGGGATTAAGTTGCATTGTCAGGGGAAAACATATGACTTGGCCAAGGGAAAGACGTTTACTTCGGATATCAAGGATGCTGATATCATGATCGATGTTCATGACGCCCGCGTGCTGGTCCAATGGCCTCAAAGTGACCGGAAAGATTATGCCTCGACGGATTCCGAGCAGACATGGGAGGAGACTACACCCAAACGTAAAGCACAGTCGCGTCGGAGTATTCACGAAAGCCCCAATGTGGAACGTCAGCGCTTGGCGTCTCCCGTCTCGCCGTCCCCTGCGGTCAAGTCTCTGGTGCCCCCATCGTCACCCATATATACCCCGACACGCTCGCGGAACTCCGTGGTCGTATACGAAGACGAGGCTTCACCTAGCCGTCGCAACAGCACTGCTGATGCAGATCAGAAGTCGTCGTCCATCGCTAGTGACATTCTGCAGAGCTCGCAGTCCAGCGAGTTGAGTGAGCTGAGCAAGCAAGATGACTTCTCGGACCATGATGAAGAAAATGACCCCATTGTTCATTCCTTTGGACCCTTTGGCGACAATCTACTCCCTCGGATGGCCTCATTCACTGCAGATGAGTCACCACTCCGTCCTGCACGACCCCGCAACCAGGTTGTCCAGCCTACCAAGTCCCCGGGACAACCCTCCAAGGCCGTTGAGTCGACGGAGAGCACAGTAACCAAGCTGGAGCCGTTGAGCGAGAGCTTTGAACGGGTTCAGAACCATGCCGCCAACCAATTGGCGTTCTCTCGGCTCTCCTCCACGCCATTTTCGACGATCTTGAACAACCTCCCACCGTCCTTGTGGAGACGGGACGGCCATCACAAAGAGGGCCCCACGAAAGAAGAGATCCGTGCCATCCTGGACACGACCAAGTGCATTGGAAAGGTGGCACGGGAGGGAAAGGATGCTGCAGGAAAGCCTCTGGAAGCCGAGTACTATTACATTCCTGACTTTGACGAGGACGATATGCGACGCGAGGCGGTTGTGCATGATCTCAGGAAGCCGGGCCTCCGCAACTGCCGCAAGCAGCACAAGGTACGTTTATCCCCACTGAAACAGTAACATATAACTGACCTTCGCAGCAATACTTCTGGCGCAAACCCAAATAAACAATAAAAAGTCATTCGATCCCTGCTAATATCTTGACACGACCTTCTTGGATTCTGAGTACATATTTGCAACGTTCCCCTTTTCTTTCTTTCTTCCTATCTTTCTTCAAGGACTCGCATAGCGTGGCGTGGGCATACCCTGTCGATATTTTTTTTGTTGCTGTATGAAGGTGTATGATGATGTGGGTTTCTTTCCTTTGTTGCGTTCTGTTAACGGTCCCCCCAAGCCAGATGTATTGTTTTGTCCACGTGCGATGTCTACTGTGTTGCCTTTTGTGGCAGCATTGACCATTACGAGTCAGGGTCTCTGTCCATGCCTCATGGTGTAGACCTTGCTATTTCTGTGGGCGCTCAAGACCTACCCGTGTCTTGTGTGACGTCCGTCAACGAATCCGCGTCTGAAAATTTTCCTTCAATGTTGTCTTCCAGTGCGCTGTTGGCAAGATGCCCATCAGCCCTGGACCCTCAACCAACCCAACCCAACCCTCATGACCTGTATGTTATCACAGTTTCTTAGGGAAACAAAAGCGTTTTAGTTATGTTCAGATGCAAGCCTCTTACATCGTTCACAGTAGGTTCGAAGCCAGGAACATGGGACGATCATTGGTTTCCACCGCAGCTGGCATCACGTGCCTGCGCCATAGATGATGTCCCAATGACTTCAGGTCCAAGCACAACACCGCCATCAACTATCTGGCCGCGTCGTGCAGTAGCACTGTCCAGGCTTCGTTCGTGTCTAATCCTAGCCGGACCTGGGTCATTCTTGGCCATGGTTTAGACGTCAGCCCACATCGTAATCGCCACGATTCCATCCGAGATACACGGTATACTATCTGCTGGAAGAAGGCAGGCAGGCATATTAAGCCAGTAGATCCGTATTTATCCCAACACTTCATCCCTCCTTCGCTCCTCCCAACATCCAGATCAAATACTTGACCTTTACTACATCGCTAGGTAGCACACTAAACCAGTCTACAACCTATCTATATCTTTCTACTTACCTACCTACCTACAACACACTTCTCAGTCTAATCCAATCCAATCCAATCAATACACCCTCTTAACCAAACCACTCATCAACATTCAATATGTCCCCAAACCCACGAATCATCCCCACCACTGAGTCCACCACCCTTCCCCGCACTCATCAACACCAACCAAACGACGCAGACACAGACGCACCACTGCACACACAAAGCAGTCCCGAAAGAGAGCAAGAAGATCCCAGCAGCCGCATCCTAGGCAGGGGTATCAAGCCGCCCGTGGTACGGCATTATAGTTGGAGTGAGGAGGATCGGAAGCATGCGTTGCAGGCGAGGTTGTTAGAGACGGAGGGGAGGGAGATGGGGTTCTCGGAGGTGAGGGGACATGATGGGGGTGTGATGGGGGATGAGTAGGATATTCTCTGTAAAGCAGGGAGATGGAATTTGATGGTAATTTGTGGTTGAAGGTAGGGATGGATGGGAATTTGAATGAGAAGGTGGTGGTTTGTGGTTAATGTTTGATGTGAATGTGAGGTTTATGGGGTTATTCCGTAAGAGTGAATTCTGTGAGGGAGATGGGATCAGTAATATACGGAATAAATTTGATGGCAGTGCCAACAAGTAAGAAGCAACTAATTCTTGAGAAAGTATTGGAGTTTATCGCAGAGTAGTAAGTACTATTGGGGGGTAATGACGAACTCCGCCTTCGGCCCACTTCTTCTTCACTTTCCCAGCTGCGCTTCACTTCAACTTCCGTCAGCCACTTCCAAGGCTTGCCTCCCCCTCTCTCCACCTCCTTTTGACGCCCGAGACACCTTGCGCGTCACTTGTCTTCTGCCCGCTTCACCAATGTGGCGTTCAAGTCACTCATGCGCTTTCCTTTCCCACTCTTTGAAAGGTTCCCCGGACAGTTGAGATCAACCCACGCGCTGATTGCTGCTGCTACTGCACCACCACCGCACACCGCGGCAAGCAATGGATCGTCAGAGGAAGCGTATGTCCAATCCCACTCCACACCACATGTCACCAAATTTCCCCCAACTTGGGTTCGCTAACTTGTTCCTTCCGTCTACAGGGGATCTCCGCCTCCAAAATGAGAGAGTATGGGCCGGCGAGAGTGGTAAAGAAAAAACCCACCCCCTCATCAATTCAACCCACTACGCCGATACATACATGAACTTGATCCCGGCATCGGAACCACATGGAGTTATTGTAACTAGCGAATTAACTAACTGATCGCTTGGTGCAACAGATGTCTTCCCGGTCAGCAAATCCCTCGATTCGGCCTTGAAAAAGAACACCGCTTTCATCAAGCGCCTCCGCACCGGAATCAACGCCGCTGCCCAACAAACCTTCCTAACCGATATCCGCACCCTCACGCTGCACAAATACCTGTCGGAAATTATCTCCGCCTGCTATGAAGGTCTCTGCAAGCTCAAATCGCCCGGCGAAATTGCTACAGGTGTCGAAATCACTAGTGCCTTGCACCAGCGCTTCGGACCTGCCGAATTCACCCGCCAGATCGGATGGCTGCTAGGGCGGGGCCTGAGTACCCCGGATAGAGGACAGCTGAAGGCGCTCAGCCAGGAGTTGCGCGAGCGCGAGGAAAAGGAACGGTTGTCTCGCCATCGGGTGTTGTTGAGGGTTGTTACGGAGTTGTGGCTGGTGGGGGTGTTGAAGACACTGGATGATATTGAGAAGCCGGATGATGTGGGCGCGAAGGGCAAGGATGGAGTTGTTGGTATTGGCGGAAAGGCGACGGATGGGCCGGTGAGAAGGGCGCCGCCGTCTGCTGGTAAAGATGGTGAGAGGGAGCCCGAGCCGTTTCCTTTGGAGGTGTTGAAGGACCTGCTTGGACATGATCGCGACCATTCAAATCTGCCACTGGCTGTGCTGTTTGTTAAGAGCTTCAGTTGGGATGTGCTGGGCGTGAAGATGGTCGAGGAGGGTAGGAAGACTGTCGAGGCTGATGGTGCTACAACTACTGTTAATGGCGATGTGGAGGCGGATGCAACAACAGCCCCGGAGGGTGATGACCCGCCAATCACTTCGGAGAAGACTCAGCTTCGGTTCAAGCATATCCTTAATCGGTACCTGGAGGATGTCAAGACACATGTTGTTCGCGATCAGAGAGCGTTGGCCGCCCAGAGCCGTCGCAATGCCGAAGCATACGTGAAGAGTGGCGAAATATTCGAAGACCGCCAGGCCAACTTTGAGAAGCAGACGAAGTCGCTGGAGAAACTGGTTACCAACACTCAGGTCCTGTGTGAGGTTCTGGGCGTGGACATGCCAGCCTTGGCCGAGAAGGAGGCCGCTGATGCTGGAGCGGGCGGTGGTATCGGCCTGGTGAAGGCTAGCGAGTACTTGCGTGGCCAAGGAGAGGGCGCGGGTATTTGGGAAGACGAAGAGGAACGGCGCTTCTACGAGAATCTGGTCGATCTTAAGGGTAAAGTGCCGGCTGTACTGTTGGAGGATGGCAAGAAGAAGAAGGCGGAGGATGAGGCCGGAAAGAAGAAAGAAGAAGACGGCACAGATACGGAGAAGACCGAAGCTGGTCAAGCGCAGTCAGCCGAGGAGAAGGCTGCAGCAGATGCCGATGACCAGTCTACTGCTATCGCAAGCAAGACTGTCGGCGCCCAGGTGGATGCGCTTCTGGCTAAGCTGCCCGATCTGCAGACCAAGGACCAGGTTGACCAGCTGGCGCTAGACTTCTGCTTCCTCAACTCAAAGGCGTCTCGGAACAGGCTCATCAAGGCAGTTTCCGATGTCCCCAAGGGCCGCATCGATCTTCTCCCATTGTACTCTCGTTTGGTTGCAACCCTAGGACAGTACATGCCTGATATTCCCCAGGGAATTACCAACTATCTGGACGAGGAGTTCCGAAGCCTCCAGCGCCGGAAGTCAAAGGAGTTCCTGGGCCAGGTTCGGATGAGCAATGTCCGTTATCTGGCGGAACTGACCAAGTTTGGTGTAGTTCCAGAGCATATCATCTTCCACTGCTTCAAGGTTTCGCTGGATGACTTTTCGCGCATGAACATTGAGATCATCGGGCATCTCCTGGAGAACTGTGGACGCTATCTGCTTCGAAACCCTGACACGTCCCCGAGAATGGCTTCCTTCCTGGAGACTCTAGGAAGGAAGAAGACTGTCCAGCATCTAGGTCAGCAGGAACGAATGATCATCGAGAATGCAGTCTACTACGTTGATCCGCCACCGCGGCCTGCCATCCAGCAGAAGGAGCGCACCCCTATGGAGTCTTACATCCGGAGACTGGTCTACTTGGATATGAACAAGCGCAACTACACCAAGATCTTGAAGTCGATCCGCAAGCTTCATTGGGAGGAACAAGATGTAAGTACAGCATGGAGCGATGCGGTGTACGAATATTATACTAACTGCTTGATAGGTGGTCGATATTTTGGAGCGCGTCTTCAGCAAGCCGGTGAAAGTCAAATATGGCAACATCCATCTTCTCGCGATCCTCGTCAGTGCCCTTTATAGGTATCACCAGGATTTTGTCATCGGCGTTGTGGACAACATCCTCGAGCAGATCACGCTGGGTCTAGAGCAGAACGATTTCAAGTTCAACCAGAAACGGATCGCTGAAGTCAAGTACCTCGGAGAGCTTTACAACTACAAGATGATTGACTCACCGGTGATCTTCGACACGTTGTATCGCATTATTACCTTTGGTCATGGTGAGTGAGTCAACACCGTCCGCGAAACGTCATTAACAGCTCTCAGAGGGTGGTACGCCCATGCCTGGAAGGATCAACCCGCTTGATCTGCCCGACGACTTCTTCCGTGTCCGCCTGGTCTGCACTCTTCTCGACACCTGCGGTCACTGCTTCGATCGTGGTTCTGCCAAAAAGAAGCTTGACTTCTTCTTGACCTTCTTCCAGGTATGTTCGCCACTGTTCGCAAGAAAATTCAAAGCTAATTCATTTTTAGTACTACATGCATACGAAGGATCCCCTGCCAATGGACGTCGACTTCCTAGTCCAGGATACTTTCTCCATGACTCGTCCTCAGTGGAAGTTAGCAGCTGATTTGGCTGAGGCTACGCAGATTTTCAGTGAAGCTGTGGCGCAGAACTTCAAGACGCAGGATGCAGAGAGACCTGCTGAGCCTGATGAGGACGATGCGGACAGCAGCTCGTCAGACGAGGGTCTGGAGGAAGATGTAATGCTCGAGGAAGAGGACCAGGAGTCGAGCGACGAGGCTGAGGTTCGTTGACCGACGTTTAGAGTGTGATTATTTACTAACGTATCAATAGGTGTCCGGTCCGAACGCCGAACAAAATGGCGACAGTGAGTCGGAAGACGAAGAGATCTTCGTAACTCGGCAGGAAGAGGAACGGGACCCAGAAGCGGAAGCCGAATTTGACCGTGAATTCGAGAAAATGATGGCGGAGAGCATGGAATCCCGGAAATTCGAACGCAAGGGTGTGTTTGACATACCTTTGCCGATGAAGCGGTCTGGACGTGAGGCAGCGCTTGAGACGCCCCCGCCAGAGGCACCCAAGCCCACGAATAACACCATGGCGTTCTCATTGATGACGAAGAAGGGGAACAAGCAGCAGGTAGGCTCTCCATCTTTTCCTTGTAAGGCTCATGACTAACCATGCAGACCCGCACGATCGACCTGCCCTCCGACTCCAGCTTCGCCGTGGCAATGCGAAGTCAGCAGCAAGCTGACCGTGAGGAACAGCAACGGATCAAGAACCTGGTCCTCAACTATGAAATGACCAATGAAGCAGAGACCAACACCGATGGTACGTTCTTTGCAGTATTCCGGATGTAATCTATATACTGACAGTGCTGCAGCCGCAGAGAAGCGTTCCCCCCATCGCGATACTAGAATGGACAAATCAAGCGCGGCCAGGGCGGCTTTCCGATCCCGGAAACTCCAACTGAGCGACGTAAACTGGTAGATGATGCGTTCGATGGAAGCTAACAGTCATGGTAAACATTCATGAACTAGAGAAAAGACCAGCAGTGCGCTGTTCGGACTAGTCTTTGACTAATACGCTTTTCGCGTTAGTCGTCCCATTAATCAGTGGGTTGATTGTTTGACAACTTGTATTGTCACAAACGCACACTTATTTACCTCGTGTGCATGGGTTCAGCCTAATCATGTGCAGACAAGATGTTGTCTGACAATCAACCAACCACTTGGTTATTGAGATACATCGGCGATGTGATGTGGGAAGTGAATGGGTATGTTGCATGCATTCCCAAGCATAGCAAACAGATCATCTGTTCAACACAGTGATCATTCCTTACTTTGTGTGTGGTTCCTCCCGACACAGAACAACTGCCAGTGGTTCGTTATAGGGAGGGAGATAGAAGAGATTCCATGGGCACGGCATGATCATATCCATCCTGCTCCCTTTTTCTTCTTCTACTCTCCCCCACTGGCTAACTCCAGCTGGGTAGCGCAGAAGGAGATAGACGTGATGTGATGAGACGTGACCTCTCCTACTTTACTGCCCTGGAAACGCAACATCCTATTACACAAATCACTCACTCTCATGAGCCAGCCAATCAAATTAGAAATCATCTCATATCAAATCAGAATGTACATCAATTGCTACTTACTACCCTACTTAAATCAAGAATAAATTGGATGGAAATGAATTCATCTATGTCTATTCAATCTACTTCGCTCTCCCTCTCCCTTCTCTTTTGGACCGAGATGCTAAACACGAAAATGAAAAGGTACAAGTACAGGCGCAGGTGCAGTGCAGGGGCAGTTACTTAGATACAGTGTGACTCAAGAAAAAAGGTGAAAGGAAAATTGGATATAGAGATGGTGGGAGATGCTGATAGATCAATCAATGAGATGAGTCAATCAGACTGGAGATTGAAACGGAGACAGAGGCAAAATAAGAAGAGGGAAAGAAGTGAAGAAGAACATCACGAACAGAGTAATGGAGAATAAAATGAACGAAGAAAATGGGAAGAGAAAAGACTGAGTGGACGAGCGGGTATAAATATGAGCTGAAAAAAAAAGAAATCATGCATGCATATAGTAATACACTGGCTTGCCCGATCTTATACATCTCCCAACATTCTTCTCTATTCATTCAAATCACATATGCTTCCTGTTCTTCGAATATTCCAATGCTGCATCTTCCAATTCTCTCTGCCATATGGTATATTCATTGCTTATTTCTCCGTCTGGGGAACAGCATCATGAGCCGACTTGGGCACCAAGGTCTCCGCCTCAGCCAGCTCACCCTTCTCGGCGAGTTCCTGTTTCGTCTGGGCGTTGATCTCCTGTGCATGGGCGCGCTTCTCCTCGGGGTGGGAGGCAGCTTCAATCTGAGCGGCCGTCACGGGCTGCTCGTCACCGGCCTCGGGAGTGGGAGCGGCAGCGGCAGCAGCAGCAGCCTCCTCGTCATCTTCGAGCTCAGCGCCGTACACGTCGGGGTGTAGTCTGAAGCAGTCTTGCATGCCCCTGTTAGGTAGTGGTTCCCCGCATTAGTAATGTATTCAGTGCTTATGGTTCGGAGACGAGTATACGTACTTGAACTTCTCAATGCAGTCAATACCCTTAGGCTCCTCAGAGGAGTACACGAAGCAGCTAAAGGCAGCCTTGAACTCCTCACCACAAGGTCCGTGAGCCATACCGCCCAGACAAGGGCAGTCCCAGTTAATCTCGCCGGTCTCGGGGTTGAAGGCGCCTTCCTGGCCGGCCTCGGCCTCAAGCTCCTCGGGGGACTTCATCGAAGCAGCTTCGGGGGAGGGTTGTTGCGCATCATCTTGAGGGGCTTCGGGGGCAGCAGGAGTGGGAGCGGGAGCAGGCTTCTTCTGCTTCTGTTCGCGGATCTTGGGCTTGATGGAGTCGATGGTGAGAGAAGATTCGGCTTCGGCGGAATCGGAGTTAGATTGCGAGCGAAGAGAGACTGCATCATTAGCTAGCTGAACTGGTCTGATGGGAGGGGAGGGGTGGTGTGATGAATTTCTTTCTCTCTTTCGAAGCATGACGGCGAACCGCCATGCATGCGGTGGGAAAAAAACCCAGCGGCAACGGGCAACAGCAACAACGTACAGGACGGGGTTTGAGCGAAGTAGGGGCTCGTGTTGTAGTAGTAGACAGCGCCAATGGCCAGACCCAAGCGGGCAGCGGTGTTCTTCCAACTCCTCGGCTTGGAGTCGGCGGGTGTGTTGGTGCTTATCAATCGTCTGGCAGCCGGGCCACGGACTGCGACGGCCGGTGCGCGGAGGATAGCTCGAGGTGCGGAGCGAAACATGGCGGGTGAGAGTGGGGAAGTTGGGATTGACAATTAAGGGAGGTGATGTAAAGAGGAGGGGAAGAGGGAGGGGGTATCACCGCGAGGCGAGCGGCATGAATTGGGCGGGAAACCGACGGATGGGAGTGGATGGAGGTGGACGGGGATGAGAGAATGGAGATGGAGATGCAAACCAATTCCACCACCTCGATTTGACGCTGTATGCCTCAGGCAGAACTGTTCTTGCCTGTTTGGGCTGTTCTGCTGGTCCGCCCCGAATTGACCAATCAGAGGGGGGCGCGATACGCTGTTGGTGCTGCCAGTGCTGAATTGCATGGATGAGATGCTTCTCCTCATTTTTAGTGTCATCTGGTTATACCGAGTAGTTGAGCTGAAAATCATGTAGATAAGAGAGGTGGCCCCGGAGGGTATGTATTGAGTCTGTTGAAGTTCATTGTCTACTCCGGTCTGCAGTCCGATCTACAATCTTGACTATATCCAGGTTACACAGTACACAAGACAAGATGTATACTGGACAGAAGATGATGGCACCTGGTAAGGACTCCACATGGTTGAAATACATCTGCACATCAACTAATGCTTCACAGTCAGCATCCCCAGTCAAGTCCCACTGGAGATCCTGCTCCTCCTCTTCGGTCTCTGCAGACCAGTCGAGCAATACATGCTCCTCTTCTCCGCCCCCGAGCTCATCCATCGACTATCCTCCAAGCAGCTCATGACGCGAGAAGCCAACGGGGATACTCTTCTGCACATCCTGGCCAAAGACCAAGGTCCATCGCGACAACTCGCGCGAGCTCTCTTCAGCAAGAAAGACCTCGACGTCAATGTGCAGAACAATAACTGGAAGATCCCCTTAGTATGCGCAGCCCAATACGGCAACCACTGGCTCGTCAAGCTGCTACTCGAGCGGGGCGATTTCAACAGCTACATGCTGGACTACTTCTACTTTACACCGCTGGTGTGGGCAGCCAAGAAGCAGGACGAGGGATTAGTGAAGATCTTGCTGGCGAATAGGAATGTTCGGCCAAATGAAGTGGATATTTTCCGGCGAACAGCATTGTCGTATGCAGCAGAGTATCGGAATGAGGCGATTGTGCGGTTGCTGCTCGCGGATGAGGATGTTGATGCGGAGTGGAGTGATGAGACGGCGAGATCACCGCTGTCTTATGCGGCAGAGGCTGGGAGTAAGAGGATTGTGGAGTTGCTGTTGGATCGCGAGGAGGTGAATGCGCATTCGGTGGATTCGTTTATGAAGACGCCATTTGTGTGGGCGGCAGAGTATGGACATTTGGAGATAATGATGAGGTTGGAGGAGTGTGAGTATTGATGAAATATTCCTGTTCAATTCGATCTTCACATATAGTACTACGTACTTGTAAGTAGTTGATGATGCTATGACTGAATGATATGCAAGCACACCACCAATAACCTCTCTGAAAGTATTTAGTCATCCATGATAGAAAATCACTGAGGGGTAGTAGTGATCGCGTGCACATTTAGTATCTAATCTACTAATCAAGAAACTATATCAGCATCAGAACCCCAAGGACACTCCTATGAACGGAGAAAGTTGTTATCACCGAACTCTACCAAATTTTCGCGGGACCCAAAACACACCCCTCTCACCCCCACCATATCTTATCTTCCACTTCCTAGTAACATAACTACCTACCACTAACAATAGTAAATCTACTCATCATATACCTACTATTGAATCTACTCATATACCCACCCAGCTATCCATGGCAACTACAAGGCTAATGACCTGGGACCCAACCCAATTCTTCCGAACGGAAGAAGGCCTTCCCTCGAGTCCCTACGCCCTGCTCATCCTCAACCATCCAATCAACGAGAGAGCATATGATGTTTTACGAAAGAATGGTATGCCCCCCCAAATCCATACACTCTATATAAAACCCTATACAGAAAACCGTATACTGAATAAAAGATAGCACTAACAACCGTCTGCGCCGACGGCGGCGCCAACCACTTCTACGAGATGATGAAAACGCGGGGGAGAGAGGATGTAGATGTATGTATATACCCTTTCATTTATACCCATGTTCATATCCATAATATATTACTATATATACATGGAGATTACTAGTAGAGTATAGTATTCTATATACTCTACTACATAGTAGTATTACACAATAACTACTACTCACCCCTCCACCCATAACATCAAAACCCCCCCCCTTCTCTCTCTCTCTCTCTCTTTCTACACGATATTAATATGGAAACAGCACCCCACCACCATAATCGGCGACTTGGACTCCATCCACCCAACAATAAAATCCCATTACGAGTCGCACGGGGTAAACGTGATCTACCACCATGATGACTACAGCACCGATTTCACCAAAGCATTGCGGTATATTCGCGCCAACACTGCCGAAATCTTATCCTCATCATCATCCACCACCCACCAACAATACAAAGAAGGTGATAGCTTGTCAATACTAATCCTTGGCGGTCTCGGCGGCCGCGTCGATCAGGCATTCTCGCAGATACATCATTTGTATTCTAACTCCACTATTCCTTCCTCTTCTTCTTCTTCTTCTTCTCCCGAAGGGGATAGGAAGGAAGGAGGGAATGAGGGTGCATTATATCTCGTCTCGGAAGAAAGTATCACGTTCATCTTGCATCCAGGGAAGAATCTGATTCGTACTCCTGGGGTAAAGAGGGCTGATTTATCTATCTCTACCTCCGGTGAAGAAGAAGAGTATCTCCTGGAAGAAAACGTGGGCATTATCCCACTCTCTGGACCGGAGAGGATCACGACGAAGGGCTTCCAGTGGGATGTGGAATCCTGGGAAACGGAGATCGGGGGCCAGATTAGTACGAGTAATCATATTCGGGCGGAGGAGGTGGAGGTTAGTGCTGGGGGAGCGGTGTTGTTTACGGTGGAGTTGGCGGGGAGGTTTAAACGTTCTTCTCCATCTTCTTCGTCTTCTTCTTAGATTATTTTATGTGGTTGGATAGGTTGGATTGGTGGTATTCACTCATCCTAACATTTAGACTTAAACATATCAAGCAATACTACAGCGCCCATCGCCCTCAAAGCATAGCAGTAACAGCAGTCCAGTCCGCTGATACGCCCTGACCCGAAACAACCAAAGATAAAATAGAAGAAACCAAAACGAATCCAAAAACCAAAATCAATCAGTCAACACCTCAATCACACCTCTAACCCTCATCATCTGTACTCTGTCCACTCACCACTGCCGCTGCCAACTATACATCACTTCCTCAGAATCGCCTCATACAGAGTCCCAATCACTCCAATAGCACTCCCCGCCAACGCCCCATTCAACCCCCAAGGAACAGAGCCCTCCAACCGATCAATCGTCAACCCCTGATAAGCACCCCAGAAGGTGAACTGCTCCGTGTAGACCAAATACGTGATAACCGCCTTAGCAATATAGAAGCTCAGCGGATCGAAGCTCGCATGCACACCAGCGCGACCGCGACGAACCTGCGACCCAGCCTGCGCAGCCTGCAAGCTCAGATTGAAAAAGTACGCGACAGTAAAGGGCAGCGCCGCACTAATCAACGCCCACAGCGAGACCACAGCCCAGAAATGCCCCTCGACCAGAATGAAAATGTCCGGAATGGCGATCTTCAAGTCTGAGAGATGCGTCCACGGGGGCATAGGAACAGTGCCCACGTAATTCCAGGGCACAACAGCCCGCAACACGTTAAGGGCTTCGACCGATAATATCAACGTGCCAAAGGCCTTGACGCTGCTAAGGTTGGAGCGGAGCGACTCGGTACGCTCGTGCACACCCGTTTCCGACCACAGTTCGCTAATGGACTTGCCCCACGCGGCTGTCTGGCGATCAATCACGTCGGTAACCACCGCCGGCGAGGGCGGTAGCTCCGACACCAGCGATGACATCGTTGGCGGCTGCACACCCACCACCTGTCCGGGGGTTTGGGGCTCAGATTCTTCTCTGTGGGAAGTTAGCGAAAAATAGTCGCGACAGTGAAAAACTATCGTGCGCGGGGTATCATACGTAGGCTCGCGCTCCACCTTGGCCTTCACCTGTCTCCGGCGCACAGATCGAGGAGCTTCATCCGGCGTTGGAGAGGCTTCAACCTTGGGGGCTCTCTTGGTGGGGGAGTAAACGCGCGGGGATTGCGACAGTCGCCGGTAGTAATCGGCCAGACGCGCGTCGGTTTTGAAGATGGATTCATTGGCTTGGAGATGGCTGTCCAGGGCGGCAGCGAGGTCTGGTTTGGTGAGGTCCTCATAGCTTTTGCTTTGTTAGAAGAGAAAGAGAGAGAGAGAGAGGGTGTGCGCGCGCGGCACGGCGCAACGCCAGTCATTATGGAGCTGCTTACTCCTGGAGGTCAGTGAGCTCAGCCCATTCTGCAAGTTGGGGCTTGCGCAGTTTCTGCAAATAAGGCAGTCCGGTAGGCATGACGATTCGCGCGGGTACGGGATCCACGTTAGACCATGCAACCAGTGGCACAAGTGCAAGGGATAAAGATAGGTGGGTGGGTAGATAGTATAAGGGTATATAGATAGGGAAAGATAGGGAGGGAGGAAGAAGGAAGGAAGTAGTAGTAGTGGTGGGAAAGGTAAACAAGGTAAGGTAGTAAACAAGAGATAGGCGAACAGGGGAGGAGGAGTAGTAGTACCAACGAGTAGTAACCAGAGCCAGACTAAGAGAGGGAGTGAATCAGTCGCAGTTCAGCGAGCATCTCGTGAGGTCACAGCGGCGGAGGAGCCAATCCAGTCCGGCTGCTGCTCTGACCGCATCCGGCTTTTGTTTACTTTTTCTCTTCTCGCGCCCCTCGGCAACTGGCGGGTTTTCTCTTTGTCGATCGCTTTGTTATTGTTGTTGTTGCTGCCAGTAATTAACTCTGGTTCTACTCAAACTCTCTTCTCTCTCTTGAAAAATAATATACAATGCTTCATTACCAGCCCTTGTCTAATGTCTATCAATGTAAAAGTATCCGTACATGAGATGATGTCCTTCCTCCTATAAACAAAATGCGCGCCCTGAACCACAACCACCCGATCATGCAATCATGCAAGCTCTCAACATGCGGGGAAAACGACAGGAGGGGAATGGGAATCCAATAATTAGAAGACAAGAAGCCGAAAAGAAAGAAAAAGAAGAAAGAACAAAGTAAAAATCATACCACTCCCGTCCGGTCGCCCTTCCAACATACCCGTCTATAATGCTCATGCTCATGCTCATGCTCCGGTTGTGGTGCGCTCTTTTCTTTTTATCTACAGCGGACACCCCACCGTGTGTCCCAGACACCCGCTGATAGTAATCTCACTATCGGCTCGCAGATGCCAAATCTTCAATGCAAAGTTAGAAGCCTACCCTCACAAAGGGCTCAGGTCTTCCACCCCCTGGTAAGCTTCCAGTTTCTTCAAAAGGTACTGGTACATGACCAGCATTGTTCCACTTTGAATACTAGTCCACACTCCGCGGGGTCCGACTCCGCGGAACCACCCGGCAATGCCCTCGGTCTGGTAGATCATCTTCAAGCCAGTGAAAAAAGACGAGGTATCCAGACGGGGAGCCCCGGGCGGCGCGACCGACGTCGATGCTCCAGACGTCGAAATGGGTCGCGAGTGGGTGCGCAGGTTGGACGTCGTATGCGATGACGTATGTTGGCGCGGGCTCTCCTTCGTCGACGCAGGTTCACCCGCCGACTTGGTCGAGCTCAAGCTTTCCGGGTTCTGCTGCGTCTGGATCCGCGTCTTGACAACGTCCATCGGGCAAGTCATCACACCTGCCATTCCACCAGCCGTAACCGCAGTCATAATTTCCAAAGGCAGTCCAATGTCTCGCGAGCCCACCCATTCCTTCGCCAACCGTTGTTCTTGCTCGTAGAATGCGAACTGCAGGGCCGAGAAAGGAAGGTCACGATAGATGGTCGCCCGGTATCCGTAGAAGAGGGCGGAAAACCCCTCCTGGCGAACAATCGTGCGTAGAGCATCCGTGGTCGAGCGGTAGTTGTATCCCGAGTTGAAATGAGGGTTGTTGTAGCGTCCCTGCAGCTGCAGCCGCGTCTTCAAAACCTCGGAGGGAACGTATACGATGGAGGCAGCCAAGTCGGCGAAGAAACCTAGCGGCAATCAAGTTAGTATCGCCCACCCATGGCGAAGCGACAAACACCCTTACCTCCAGACAGGTACGCAATATTGGGGTTGATCCCAGAGTCTATCATCTTTCGCTTGGTGAACTCGTAGACACCAAAGAAGATGACCGTTCCAGGGAAAGAGCCAAACAGCGCCGGTGTCACACCACCGTACAGACCACGGAAGAATCCCTCTTGTCGATAGATGGTCGCATACGACGAGGTCATAGAGGTATATTTCGGAGGGAAGTGGGGATCGCCTTGCTGTCGAGTCTTCACCGTATCTAACGAATGCATGAGCATGTCACCGCAGGTACCACCGGTACCTCCAGCCAGCATAGCCTATCCCAGCAACAATGGTCAGATTACAGCTGAGGTTTATATGCAAACAGAACGAAGCCTGTCAAACAGTCGCACTCCACACGAGACCAACAAACATACATGTAGATAGGGAGGCCGAGGCTCCTCCTCGTCCGCAAGGGACGTAGCCTTCTGAGCATTATGGTCGCTGGATGCGCTTATCGGACCGGCAGAATGGAAGACATGGTCGCTGCTAGCGGGAGCAACGTTCGGGAACTGAGAGGCCGACGCAGGGGAAGGGGGATCGGTAGACGGTGTCTCTGTCGTCGTGAACAGGCCCAAGACGCGCGAGGTCAAGCTCATTGCAAGGATACCGCAACCCACCGGATCGTGGTGCGGACCAGACCACGGGGGTTGGGATGCGGCGAGCGACTGTGGTTTAACGGAAGGACGCCACCCCGGACAAGAATGGGATGACAGTCGAGAGGAACTGGGCGTAGAGCAAGGCGGGAGAAAAGGTGGATTTCGGGGGAATTTATGTTGCCAACACTGGTCGGGAGAGGGGAGTTGGGAGCATCGCACCTCTCGATGATAAAAAAAGATCCTTCGGGCATCATCGCCAGCGTCCGGGAGGCCCCAAAATTTCGGTCGGTTTCCTGTTTTCTCCGCCGTCCGAGTTAGAATCGTGGCCTCAGGCATCTGTCTCTTAAAGCTTCCGCCGCGCAATCCGCCTATCGCTACGTTGCTTACGCGCTGACTGAGCCGTGGCCACTGCATCACAATTCCGCGCTCGATCGGAAGTCTAATCGGACCCGCCGGACGCCGACGCTCTCCATAGGCTAATCCCGATCCTACTAATCCCCCATAATCCGGTGGGAAGGCAGAGTACGACAGCCACTAACATTATACTGTCGCATTGGAATATATAACAATGAGACATATTCAAGGACAGAAAAAAAAACTTGCTGAGACATTTCACGTAACCTTCCTCCGCGTTCTCCCCCGAGCAATTAAAAGTACCATCCCGGATGCTACTCCCAAATCTCGCTTCGTCTCGCCTCTACTATTCACAACCTTCATTGTTCATCAAAGGGCCGTGCTCCTCGGCCAGGGCGACATCGCTGGCCATGGAGATTCATTACTGGCACATCAGTCTCAATGATCGGTGTCCAGAACAAACGGCTCCCAAAAATCCTATGCACGTAGAATCACGGGGCAGTTCACCAATTCCGTTGTAATCCTGAACGTCCTGAACCAATCCTGATGGCCCTCTATTGGGGCTTCTTCGCAGCACCGGAGCTCATACGGTTGAGATCCGTAGCCTCGTAGGCCTGGCCCACGGCAGCCTTGAAAGACTCCCAACCCTGGCGAACCGCAGGGGGGGTGCTCTGGTGAGAAACCGAAGCATCAACTCTCGCGATGAAGTGACGGACCGCCTGCTGCACAAAGGAGCTCTGGGAGTATCTGGCGCGGAAAAAGGCCAGGTAGAAGAAGAACAGCACAAAGCTACCCTTGGAGAAGGTCAGGATGCCGACGGCCAAGCGGAAGAGGAGAGACATCTCCAGCTGTGCAACCAGGTGCATGCTGGCGTCATAGTACTGCTTGACAAATCGTCCAATGGTATCGGCCAAGGGAGAAGGTCTGGCGGCGGGCTTAGGACCGCTAGGAGAAGCGGGAGAAGCCGGGGCACCAGGGGCGGGGCCCTGAATGGTGGGAATAATGTGGGCACGAGTGTAAGTCGCAACGTGAAAGATGGAGTAGACGCTGAAAGGAAGCAGGGCCAACGGGATCTGGCGCGAGTAGAGCCAGACCAAAGCCATACCTAGTTACGCTTATCAGTATCATTGTCTTCGCTATTCGATCGCCATCACTTACCGAGGTACTGGACATTTTCATCACCAGCCAGCTTCAGCGCAATGTTGGGAACACTGCCCTGGAGACGGCCACGGGCAATGTGTCCCTTGTACACCACAATTCCGTATGTCGCGGCAGCGGAAACAAACGCAAGGCGGTAAGCTACCTGCGCCGACGAGGAGTAATAGTTGAACGTAATGTAGGACAAGACATAGCGGAAAACTGAAAGGAGAAGCGTCACATGCCTATGATGCGTTAGCGAATATGCTCGGTCCGACCGTTCCAAAGCGAAAGCTAGCGAGGGGAAGTCCAGAGGGCAAGTCCTGCTGGACAGACCCAAGACCGTGATTTCATTGTGTGATGAAATGTCGTTAAAAACAACAGGCAGGCCAAAATACGACAAAGCTATAACCTACCCAGCGAACCAAGCAAATCTAAGTAGAGGAGACCTCGTCAGTACCAGCCGTCAGTTCCGGGACATGCGACACATACTGCAGTGTTTGAGCCAAAGCCTTGAGTCTCTCAGGCAGAGGCAGATTAGCGGGCGGAGCAGGAGCCATTGCGATCGCTTGTCTCGGGAAGTCGGATGAAGAAGCAGGAATGTAGGGAGGGTCGTTGGTTAGTACGTAGTAAGAAAGGGCCGAGATACCGGGGAGTGGAACGGCGGTGCGGCAATGGAGCAGCCAACAGCAATAGTAGATGAGGAGGGAAAGGGAAAAGGAGGAGAAGGAACGAAGAAAGAATATCGGGGAAACTAATTGAGCGGTGGAAGCAGATGGATATCCACTTGGGAAGGGAGGCTGGGCGGGGACGGCGGTGGGTTTTGGCCTTGAAGGGAACGAACGGCGGTTCTGGTGCAAGTTGGAGAGAGTAAGTTGCCAGCTGAGGGAAGAAGCTACTACTTTTAGTCCTACTCAGCCTAGTAGTCTCGCTCGGTCAACTGGTTCGTTCGAGCATCAGCCGCACTCCCGTGACGTCGCCCGCCCGCAATGATGCAACACAACCGTCGGTGGAAAAAAGCTTATCGATGTCATGATCCAGGCGAGCTCTTCCCCATGTCGTATGCACATCTATTCTGGGTAATTGTTGGTTAGTAGGTATCCGGATTTTGGATTGAATCTACTGGTTGGGTCTTCCGGTCACTGAGGGCTTTTATGCCTAGCAAAATCGATTCCTCAAGAAGCATCCAGCGGTATCCAAAACATGAGCAACTACAGACCATACTCTGATACCCTATTTCCTGATACGAGCTAAAATAGAAATTCATCATGAGCGACAAGGCTACCCCTACTCACAATTCTAGGTGTTGAGCTGGATACTGCTTGATTGTTTCGAATTGAAATTACTATATCACAGTAGACATATATCCACACTACACGCTTCTTACTGAATACGCCTTTCGTCGAATGAGCTCTGCTGCTGTCGCACCCAGATGGCCATGGAACAATACATCACAACCGCCCGAAGCATCTCCAGCTTCGTCTTGCTTTCTTCGCTCATACACCTCCCGCTTCCATGATCGTATCGTTCGCTCTTCAATAACACTTCAGATTGACAACTAGCGCACAGAAACAGCAGAGGAACAAGGAAAAACGTCCAGAAAATAAAAAGATGGTCAGGGGTGGGTGATCTCACTAAAATGGTGTAAAAGAGGCAAAAAAAATAAAAAAAGTGTACTGAAGACGAAATAAAAAGTAGGAGTACCAGGCCACAACGGGGAATAGGAAATCGGACGGGAACAAGGTATAGCGTAGGCAAAAGTACATAACAAGAAGCGAATGGTGGACATGAAGCAGTGAATTCCGAACCCAAAGCGGTCTTCCAGGCCGTCACCCCGTGCGTCGTCTTGCGATTCCACGACCAGAAGCACGGGAGCATCCAGACATTATCACCAAGCTGGATTCAGCTCCGGTGTTCCGGCCACATCTCCTACTCAAGCCCCAACTGGTGGTTGGTTTCGGCTGATGAAGAGAAAAAAAGAAACAAAGGCTGTCTTTTCTTCTGCGGTCCACCCGGTCGATAATAGAGTCATTACTGGAAGCAGATACGAGAAAAGTAGAGGTCTGAGGGAGTGTGGGGGTGAGAACAAATAAACACAAGAGAAAAGAGGCGGCGGGTTAGAAAGAGCGTGCGGTCAATCGGGAGTCGTGGAGAAATCAACATAAAACCACCTGAGTGCCTCCGACGACCATCCGTAACCTCGGTGGTCCTTGATGTAAGTCCCTTGGCAAAGGCATCGGGGTACCAGTCATGCGTGCGTGCGTCTAACGAAGCGAAAATCCCTTTCGCTTCGGCTCCTTTTCGATTGGCCTCCCACTTTCGAGGCGCGCCTTCTTCTCGTCTAGCTCCAGACGTTGCCGTTCCAGTTGGTCCTTCATCTCGCGATGTCGGGCGTATAGTTCGTCTTCGCTCTGTTTCAGCTTGCTCTCCTTCTCTGCGACCTTCTGTTGGAAGACCATCTTCATCTCTGCCTCCATCTTGGCGAGCTTCTGCTCGTGGAGGGCACGCTCCTCCTCTTGCTTGACAGCGGGGTTGACCTCCTTGAAGACGCTTGGGTCCTGGGCCACGCCCATCTGGGTAAGCTTGTCGGAGCGGTAGTTCTCGTACAGAGAGTTGTTGGTGTGTTCCTTGAGCTCCTCCATGTGGGTGCGGATCAGCATCTGGCGCAGCTTGACAAAGTCGCAGTGTTCCTCGTTGTCGACTTCGATGATACCCCAAGGGTAGCTTCTACCGCGCACTTTCCGGCCATCAGGGGTCGTGACCTCGGAGTTGGCACCGACGACAGCGAACGGGACCTTGGACATGATCTCCTGGTTCTCGGCAATAGTCTCCTCGTCGTCAAGCTCATAGCGGGGGCCTTCGAAGATCTGAATGGAGTGGTGCTGGATATCGGCCAAGATCTGAGAGTGATTGCATCAGCATACTATACAAAAAGAATGGTATCAGGGGTCAACCTACCCTCTTCTTGAAGTCCACAATCTCCTCGTCCGTCAGGGTGTCAGCCTTGGCGATCACAGGGATCAGGTTGACCTTGGTGTGCAACCTGCGCATGACTTCGATGTCGAGGGGCTTCAAGGAGTGGCCAGTGGGCTGGATGAAGTAAACGCAGGCGTGGATGCGGTTGTCGACAATGTTGGTTCTGTTGACCTTGTTCTCGGCCTCCAGGTAGGCATCGTATCTCTGTTCGATGTTCTCCACAATCGGGCGCCACGAGTCGTCGTTGTTAACAAAATCACCGAATCCAGGGGTGTCCACCACGGTCAGGCGGAGACGGACACCATTCTCTTCAATATCGGAGCTGATGGATTGGATAGAAACGGTCTTAGGGATGATGTCGTGGCTGGGGCCGGTGCGTTCCTTAGGAGGGTAGAGCGAGGCGTTGAAGAGTGTGTTCACGAGAGTCGACTTTCCGAGGCCGGACTCACCTAGTGGCGTATTAGTTTGAACAAATTGCAGCTGTGCGTGGTTCCGCCTGTTGAGTACTTACCAACAACCATCACGTTGAAGTTGAATCCCTTGCGGACACTCTTACGGTGCCATTGGTTGGGCAGGTTGGCAAAACCAACGTAGCCGGTCAGCTTCCGGCGAACGACATTCTTCATATCCGTAGCAGCTTGAGCAACAGCTTTGGGGTCCTTGGAGCTCACGGTCTGAGCGTTTCCCGCGCCCATTGGGTTACTGCGCTCAACGAAGGGCGAACTGGGCTTGCTGCTGGGGGGAGAGGACGAAACGGGCGTGCCATTGGCAACCGGTGCAGGGGGTGGTGTAGCTACATTGTGCGAAGCAGAGTCAGCAACTGGTTCATCATCCTGTCGTTCACTTTCGGAAGACAAGCGATCGAGGGCAGGCGAAAACGAATGGCGCTTCGGTCTCTGCGAGCCCTTCTGGAGGAAGCTTGGAGGAGCTTCCGAATCTCCTTGGGAGCGACCATCCGCACTTCGGTTCCTGGAACGTGCCATGGTGGTATCACAACGCGCTAGGATGCCGGGTTTCGGACACGATAAGGGAGAATTGGTGGCAGGTAGAAAAAGGGGGGTGTTTCTTTCAAATCGCAGGTTGATGAAAGGAAGGGTACAGGGCGACAAGCTTACCCATTGTGGAAGTGAAAGGGTGTGCAGGTAATATGGGAAGCGAGCGTAGAGGAAGCAGGTGGTAGCGAGCGTCGATGAGGAAGTTCCCCTGAACAGGTAGTACCTTCTTCGTTAGCGACAAAGTCCTTGCAGGAAGCAGTCAAGGGGAAGGTCTGGAAGCCGCAATAATCGAAGCAGCAACGTGGAGGATAACCGTAATCCACGTATGGTCCGTGGGAATGCAGAAGAGAAGGTAGGGAGGAGGAGGGGAGGGGGGCCAGGAAACAGAGGAGCCAGCCTGCGTACCTGAATACTATTATTCACCGGTAAAAGGGTGAGGTTCAGTTCAATAACGAGCCAAGGGGATGGGATTATAGCTGGAACCCCAGGAGAATAAAAAAGCTGGGTGTGGAGGAGATGATGCGAAACGAAACAGGAAAAAAAACAAAAGTCGGGGAGAAGAATTGAAAAGGACGATGAAAGAGAGAAGTGAATACGTACTGAGGGAACAGGGGAAAGAGGGAGAGCGATTGGGACCTGCGGAGTGATGGGGGTGGTTTAGTCGTTGGAGCCAGACTGTTTGGTGGCCCTGTCCGAGAAAGAAAGGGGGGGCTCTGGTTTCTCTTCTCTCTACTTTGCTCAAAACTAAACTAACCTAACTTACTGATTGACTGTATGGGAAGGCAGGCTAACTAGTTAATCAATCCTTTTAGTCCTGCTGTCCTGTCGCCCACTTTTATCTTATTTCCCCAATGGACAGTTTGATTGCACACCGTTTGGTTTATTTTGAATATGACACTTTTCATCCTCTCTATCTATGATCAATTGGAGTTCTTTCCCAGTGTTACCTATTGTTTACACCCTCCCACACCTATCTAGAACCGCGACATTCCGATTTACAACGGCTCCATGATCATCATTATTTCACTCGGAACTTCATTGCGAACGAATTACCCTGGAGTATTTTAACTGTCACTACTGTACTTACCTACTACCTTAGCAACAGAACCAGTGATTTTTTTTTCTTTTAACCGGACATGTCCATAACGAAAAAGCAATAAGAAAATCCCCCAAAGTCAAACTTAAAGTCCCTCGAGATCTTTTGGACACCACTAGCTTAATAAGAGATGCGAAACCATTATCCCCGGGGGTCAGGTGTACTACAGTACGAAGTCAGTTAGATCGTGGGGAACGAATCCAACCAACCAACCAACCCTGGAGCCATTGACTATCTATCTAATAGGATGCGTATCCGGGAATGGGAAAATTCCAATTTGGGAGGGCGAGGTTTTGGAGCTGTACAATCAGGAAGGCCTGATAAATTGAACTCCTGACCCGTGTGTCCTGCACAGTGCTCAATCTACCGGACCTTGGGTCGACGGCAACCACTCCCAGGTTTGCTTTCCAAGACAGATCCGCTGCGGGTGGGCTATTATTAGTTGGAAGGATGCTGCTTTGTGTGTCCGGTGCGAATCATCTGGGACCTGCAAGTATCATCCGATGGCCATTTATACGCAAGCCCACCCACCTGTCTTGAACGACATACAGATAATCGGGCGTAAGAAGCAGCTGGTAGGTAAGCAAGCTAACCGGCAGGAAAAGAAAAAGGTTGCTGGCACCGCACGGGACAACACCTCTCTCCTTCGGGAGGCGCAAAGCAAAAGCAGGCTAGCCTGTATTTCCATGCGTAACCGCGTAACGGGCGGGACGGCAAGCAGTCAGGGGGGGGGAGGAAGAATACCACCGACTAATACCCATAATGGACACTGACTCTGTTGTGTCGGGGCCGGAACAACATCGTATGCCGTAAGTTGCAGTCAAGGCTTTTCCTTCCTCGGCCAATCATTGCTGCTTCGCCCAACGGTCTGGAAGCTGGCGTCACACCATAGGAACTTGCCGGTTGGTTCTAGCACTACTACGAAAAGAGATAGTATTTGAGTCCAGTCGATCCGAATTTCATTCATCTCTCCAAATTTACGTCCAAATGTTACTTCCATCAAAAGGGGGTTGTATAAGTATTTCCTTCTCTGGGATTCCCCAGAATAAGATATCACCTACCTGCTTACAGTACCTACTCATCTAATTAAACCACCTACCCTTCTATAAATAACCCAAACCCAATGAAACACCACCACCAACCCTGCATCTCCCATGATTAAACCTGTGCACAGAGCAAGGGAGCCAGAAACCCGACTCGGAGTAAATCATGAGGCTACACAGTTACCTACTACTTGCCTCCTCCTGCTTCTGCCTCACACATACACACCTACCCCCTACACCGCACATCATTATCCGAACCTATCGTAGCCACCCAACATGCAAGACAGGTTTGAAATAACCATGGCAATCGGGCATATTTCGTCCTGCAGTCAACAAACATACATACATACATGCAGCAACTACAGTGAATACTACTACTACTACTACTACAGTATTACTACTTAATAACTAGTGCAGCTCGCTTAACCCCAACTACTACTAGCAGTACTAGTATAGTAATGACCTCCCAGTAGGGATAGGGATACAATAATGGCATGTGATATATCCTATATTGAGGCACGTATTCATGGCTGAGGATGTTACGAGTCGAATCCATTTCCCCCACTTACTGTACAGAAGGTTTGGCTGGGGGTGGTTCTCGTTCTATGATCGTAGATCATGGATACGAACGAACGAACGAACGAACGGACGGACGAACATGGATCGGCGTCGCGTCTTGGTTTATGACATGTTATGCACATGACATGCAGGTGATAATCGATAGTGTTGCCAATAAGCAAACTTTAGGAGGGATGAAGTTGGAGGGCTACTGGACGTGTCTTATTGTTGTGATGTTTTGGGTACAATATGGTGGTGTGGTACTACTTGCTATGGTGGTGGACGGGATTTCCTAATTAGCTAACTATGGTGAGTTCAGTGGGTCAACGGTCCTTTGTATGCCATGTTTTTAGTATACATTTACAGGGATGTCAATAATCCAAGTACAGAGTAAGAGAGCAGAAGGACTATGCTAAATGTCATCCAGATAGATAAGCCCGGTTCATTATGCGATAATCATCATAACAATGAGGGACGCGGTCGGGAAAAAAAAAATACAAGCAACGGGCTTAAGACGTTAAAACTATTTTCCAACCTTCGTCTTCTTCTTCGGCCGCGCTCCCTCCGCCTCTGACATGGGCTCATCCTCGTCATCGTCTTCTCCATCAGATGCATCACCCATCTCGGCGTCACTGGCACTGCCGCTGCTCTCGTGCGCGGAGTCGTATTCTTCCGCGACGTCAGAATCAGACTCGGCCTGGAAGTCCTCGTCAATGGATTCTTCGTCTTCATCGGCCGAGCCGCGGTCAGCCCGGACGCCCTCGTCGTCGCTGGAGCCCATATCGTCATTGTCAAGAGCTGCCGCGATAAGGGCCGAGGCCTAGTCAGGGAGGTTAGTGATGACGAACACGCGAATGGATGAGGAATTTGCAAGGTTACACATACATCGTCGGACATTTCGTTCTTGAAGCGAATGTTCTTCGCCTTAAAGAATTCCTCGAGGGGTTGTTGCTCCTCGCTAGGGAATGTTAGCCTCTGCTAAATATTTGAGCGTTATAGAGATCCACATACCGGTTGATGTTGCTGAATTGGTGCTCTCCCAGGCCAGCCTTCAAGCTAACTGTGATATCAAATGTTCTGCTGGCCGAGATGGCGCCACCCACACGCGACATGGTGATGATCGCAATGTTCTCAATCTGGATGTAAGTGGCAGGCTTGGGGACGAAAATCAAGCTCTTATCCAAGAAGTAAAGGAGACCCTCGTTCGCCTTGATGGAGCACTTGACTCCACTGTGACCGTGATGGCTGTAGAATGTCAGGAATCAGAGCATAAGCTAACATGGGATACCGTTTCACTGACCTGACAAAGTCCTTCGACGGCATGATGACCTTCTTGCCTGACAGGCCACGGAAGATCTTCGTGACCACCTGGTGGATGGGCTCCTCGTAGCGGGGCTCCAACTTGTCCTTGTATCGAGTTTCCAAAAGTTCACTGGTAAATTGTCAGCTGTATGCGATCCACTGATTCATCTGCTGCACTCACTCTGTCATGTTGAGCTCCAAGCTGATTTCCTCGTCCAACTTCAGCTGCATTACCAAGAATGGGTAGCGAGTCTGGCCTTGTCGTAGCGGGGGATCAAGACCCAGAACGATCAATGTATGTGTGTCATCGTTCTTCGGAAGCAGGAAGAACTTCTTGATAGAAGCGTATTGAATCTTGTAGTCATAGGTTTTACCGCGTAACCGAAAGGATGATTCGTACATGTCGATATCGAACCGACCTCTGCAATTTCGTTAACACACATCCAAGATATCGTCTGGGTGATACGCACCTGGGTGTAAGATGCAGGACATCCAAGAAAGTAGCGAATGTGTCGCCTGCCACATCTCCAATCTCCGCCTTATCCATGAGCATCTCGTAGAACAAGTTTGCTGCATTCTGCTCTTCGCCCTCTTCTTCCTCGGCTCCGTTCTCTTCGTCCGGATTTTCTGCGTTTTCCTCCTTGATACCCTTCTCCGTCTTCACGGCTGTTCCTGGGATGTAGAATCGCATCTCGACAAGTTCGTCCGGACCCGAAGCGGCCTTGCGACCACGGTTCTTTGTACTACCAGCCGGTTTGGCGGGCTCGTTACCCTCGCCACCAAGAGCAAACTCCACAGCGACTTCATTCTTTCCGGCAAGGTTCGTGTTCGATATCTCGGAGTAGGGGATTTCGAATGCCGGTCGGTTCTGCACGTTGAAGGATAGTTCTGCTTTGGTGAATTCTGCCTTGCCCCAGTTCCATCCTCGAAGAGCGTGCTCCCGGCTTTCCATGTTGATACCGTACCAGATCTTGAAGGCTTTGCTCAATCGCTCGAAGTCCTAGCGTCCACGGAGGCAAAGATTAGAACAGCCTCTTCTCTCATATTGACATCACTCAGACTTATTCACGGACATACCTCCTGGTCGAAACCATCAAGCTGAATGACTCCCGAGGAGCGCGACAAGATTTTCAGCTCATATCCCTTTGCTGCTCGACTCCATTGGGCTGCGCCGATATTGCTGCTGTCGAGAGTGAACGTTTCGCCTCCACCGGAAGGCTTCCATCCTAAGCCAGATTCCGCCAGCTTGCACTTTCCATGCTGCTTCGAGAGGTCGAGATAGATGTTATCGAAGCTCTCCCTAGAAGAAAGAGTAATTAGCCCCGTAGCCGGCGATGGTAGGTGAAGACGCTCACATTTTGGAGGAGCCCTCAAGGGTGTCACAATAAGCGTAATGGGTATTGAAAGAGTCGAATCAGTTGCCCTCAAAGCGGCGACAAATTTTAATAGAGTAGTTGGTGAGTTGGGTGTGCTTTTTGCAGATAAGGTGTTTGAGCTACTTCCGATACTGAGCTCCGATATCCTTTTTCCTGGAGTCTCGCGTTGCGCGCGGCTATGCCTCTTACGCGGTGCGGCAAGTTCCTGGCACCACTTCTGCAGAATTGGTTTAGTGCTTGGTGCCTGAGGCATTAGCAGTCAACCACGGTCAAGATGTCTCGTTGCCTAATCCCAAGTGAGGTGGTTGTCATAGGCACTGAAGAATACTCATATTATTCAATCCAAATTCGGTTTGCTTGCTCACCACTTCAGGAGGTAGACTTCAGAAACAGGGCTGTTACTGTCCGATACTGCCAGCATGGGTTTGATTTATGTCGCTCAACATATTAAGACGAAGGGTACTCGGTAGTCATGTATTTATATTAGTACTAATATATCACTTGTAGTGTTACTTTCGGAAGTAGGGCACATTCCCACACACTCATGTTGGCATCACCTTGACTTCGTTGCCCGTAGTATGACTTGTGGAGTGTTATTCGGATCTATATATTTCGGCTAAAACTTCCACATAACGTACTAGGTTATTACTAGTACTACTACTCCAGCAGCATATCTCCGCCGAAGAATTACAAGCCAGAAAACTACTAAATGACTGTGGTATATTGAAAAATTTTCTAGGAGCGAACAAGCGTCGAGAACCAAGCACCTGTTTGAAATAACGCTATTAACGAATAGTTACTAGACCGATTGTCAATCGCCCCCATAGTCAAAACCAGCCATGAGCCCACAGCCAAGAGCGAGCAGTTGGTAGTCTAGAAAAACAAGAGAACTATATCCAACGTCAGTGCAACTACATCATTAACATTTCTATTGGAGACCATGCAGATCAATTGTCTACTTTATATGTCAGGTGATTTGCCGCGAGTGACAGTTAATGACTGGGCATCTCCGGTAATCCGAGCCATTTTATAATCTGAGCATTCATGGTTTCTGGAAGATTCTGAATACATTTCATTCCTGACCAAGCTTGGCCTAGCCATGGTGCTTTCTGCGCATATGTGGCCTGGGGACTAAAGTTCTGTTGAAAACCAAGCGTGCACTTGTTGTATGTCGAGGACGAGATGGATAAAGACGGCCTTATTGCTCCCATCTCCAGAAGATTGCCTGACTGACAACTGGGCTCTTACTTGCAGTGTTCTATTCATTCTCGGGATACAAATCTTACATATCCAATGCATGCTGGCAACGACAGGGTTCATCTGACTTGTCACTATAGGAGGCCACGATTGCTCTTGGCAAGGCATGTACATGAACAGGATGGCATTTACGTTTGATAGAGAGAGCTCCCCGTGTGTATGGTTTATATCAAGGTCTAAAGCAAAATCTAGGTACGGAGTACATCGAAGAAACAAACAACTACTGTTCTGGAATCCTACAAGCAAGGATATCACGAATCCATCCCCGTAGCAAAGACAGAAAGGTCAACCCACACAGCACTGTCTGTGTCGGGTGTGATATCTAGTACTAAGCAGAAATGTTGGGGGCTAAGCACTAATATCACCTGATGCAGCTTTTGATTATGGTTCGAGGGAATGAGATGAATACTGTCGGTGAGTGCCCAAAACTCGTAATTCTATACCTGAGAGTATGAGACGGCTGCCTCCAGGCGATAATAAGAAGGCTTGAGTCTAGTACAGAGCAGATCAGAATAAACACGATGTAGCTGCATGTAGGTGTATCGTGTTAGATAAACCTAATGTAGCTCCTGCGGTGGGTATATGGAATTAGACTTCTGTAACCTGTTCATGCGACTCTAGCTGCATAGTACACCGCCGGTAAGGATGATTTCAATATGGTGGAATGCATTGATCCTGGGCTAACGTTTGTGAAATGAAGACCTCTAGAATGTTTAACTTCCTCCCAGTCTCCCGATGCTGCCCGTCATTACTGTCGCTGTGACGGCGTCCAATACTAGGGGTGGGGTGAATGGAGAAGATCACCTAATAATAGGAATCCCACCGCCTGCAAGGTGTCTCTCATTCGGAGGCGCAAGTAGTGATCCTGCGTGGATGATCAAACCAGCCTCTTCCCTGATGGCAGTAGTCTAGAGCCCTTCCATCAGCATCCTTTTCCAACCTGATCGGAGAGTTGAAGGTCATGCAAATACCAATAATGATGTGACCACTTCGATAGTACAGGAAATGGAATGAAGCCCGTAATTGAGGGCGCCCCCACTCTGCGGTGGACACAAAATTGGCTCCCCAAGTAAAAGTAGCTCCATTCCGTGGCTCATACGCAACAATGGACCCTCTAGCGAGCGAGCGAGTAATGTTGCGTTTCACCTGCCGGGCCGATGAGCATCCCGAAGGCCCCTCACCAACGAGCCATCGAGAGCTGCTGACTGCGCAGCTGGTGGATCCCGGAACGCAGCCAAATGGGCAATGACCGGGCGGGAAGAAATGATGGTACCTGAAAAACCAACTACTAAGTAACTTACTAGACTACCAGCAACTTCTCTGGGAACAAACAAGCCCCTGCCGGCCATGTCACTCGTTCGCTCCATCCAACTTCTTCTCCCAGTCATTCGTTAATTAATTAATTTTCACCTGGCTGTGGCCATTCTTGTACTATCGGGCTATCTCTGCCTGAGATCACATTCGTTCCTTATCTCTATTTTCGTTCCTTTCATTTTTTGTTCTTCTACACCTTCGTCTATTAATGTTTTCTGGGCCCGACCACTCCTTTTCTCGTGTTCCTCGTGCTGGTAGCTCAGCCTCCCATTAGGAAAAACCACTGTCTTTTCTTTTTGATCAATTTATCCAGTTCTCTTTTCAACGCCTTACTCGGGTTCAGGCAATTTGTTTTCAATTCCCTTTCTTCAATCCCTGGCCTTCAACCTTTCTTTGGCCTGTCGTCGCGAACCTGAACAATGAGGGCACCCTCACTGTTTGGGCCTGCGACGGCTGGCTTGTCGACTGTCCTCCGCCTTGGCTATTTTCTCCAGTCGACCCCCGCTTACGCACTCACCTTTCAATCCGTCTCAGAGCCCGAATTGGATCTGTCGCCATTAGGCCAAATCGCTTTCACAGGAGACTTCGATGCCATTTCCCTCTATCAATATACCGAACAGTCCGATACCGCGATCGAAAATGATAACGCGCAATCCCTTCTCACCCCTCTCCCGAACGGAATCCTCACGTCACTCGAGTCGTCCAACGCCCATATCCGTGCGATGTGCCCCTTCACGAAGAAAGACGGAACGTTCTCGGGTATTTTTGTCGGAGGCAACTTCACCAGCTTGGGAGGCGTCGACTCGGAAGGTATCGCGCTGTACAATCCGGACTCGAACAAGGTGACAGCATTGTCAGGTCTGTCGGGCTCGGTATCGGCATTACTTTGCGACCAGGAAACGAACAGTGTTTATGTCGGAGGAAACTTCACATACTACAACATCACGAACGCCGTGGCCTGGGTCGGAGATGAAGGCTGGTCGAATTTGACGTTTGGAGGCCTCAACGGGCCCGTCAACTCGATCTTGAAAGACAGCAATGGCCATATCATTTGGGGTGGTTCTTTTGACGGCACCGGCAATTCTACATCATCCGAGAAAGGGCTGCAGGTGATCAACCTTCAGAATGCTACGATTACTTCCGACGCAGAATCCTCGACAAGCGGCTATATCAGTCCTAGTAACATTATATGTCAGACGAGCGGCGACGATGGCAAAGGCAAGACTTGGCTGTTAGCGGATTATTCCCCCGGGTACTGGCGCGCCATGATGGGATTCGAATATTACCCTACGAAATTCAGATTGTACAACACTCATTATGAGGGACGCGGCACCAAAACGTTCCTGTTCAGAAGACTTCCGGACAATGGAATTATGAACTTGACATATACCGACCCCGACACCGGCAAGGACGCCTACTGCGATCAGTCTTGCTCCCTTTCAAACAGCACATCGGAGAAGTATCGCGAGTTCCGTTTCGTCAACAGTGTTGGCATGAGCGGATTTCAGATCGAGATCCTAGACTGGTACGGAAAGGGTGCCGGTCTGAACGGGATCGAAATGTTCGAGACCAGTGAGTTACCGTCTCTTTTTCCTTACGCTGAACGTGAAATCTAATGGCTGTAAGACATTTATGCATACGCCATGAATGCTTTTAACGAACCGACCTGTTCTGGTTCCGATTATCCGTCAAAGTCAACTCGCACAGGGTCGTGGTCTGTCGCACCGTCCGGCGAGAGCTCGTCTGAATACTTGACCACGCAGGTGACAGAGTCAAATGCAACCAGTGCTTCAGTGGTGTTTGAACCCGATGTCAAGCTTTCCGGAAACTACTCAATCAAGCTGTACACACCCGGTTGTGAGCAGGATAGTACCTGTGATTCCCGTGGCATCGTCAATGTGACAGTTACCCCTACCAGTGATACCGATGAACCTGTCCAAACGCTTATTTACCAAACCAATGTCGATGAAAAGTACGACACCATCTATACCGGCCATGTGGATGCTAGCGATGATTCTTTCCGTCCCCGTGTCAAGTTGACTCCGACAACCGGCCAAGGCAACAATGTCACTGTGGTAGCCTCACTGGTTCAGTTCGTGGCAAACTCGGTGTCAGGCAATTCGAGTGATAACTTGAATGGCCTTTTTGACTACAATCCGTCGGATGACAGCACCAATGTCACGGCTTCCGCGATCGATCAGGCAGGCTTGGCACTCGAAGATGGAGCTTCCGTCAACGCCCTGGCCAGCCATGATAAGATTGTATACGTCGGTGGTAATTTCTCGAGCTCCAATATCGAGAACATCATGTACTTTGAACAGGATGGAAATGCGACAGCAATGCCCAAGGGTGGATTGAACTCCGAAGTGGCTAGCATGGCGGTGCTGGGCGACAATCTTTATGTCGGTGGAAATTTCACTGATACATATAGTGGTGGAAACGATGGCCTGAGTTACGTCGCAGCGTATTCTTTCGACTCGAAGACATGGTCGGCATTGGGCGCCGGTGTCAATGGTCCTGTTAGCGATGTCCTTGCTCTCAAGCTCAATGTCTCCTTGGATCTTAACGAGACGATCATTGGTATTAGTGGCAAATTCGATCAGCTGCTAGCCTTTGATGACAGCCCAGCAACCAACGTCTCTGGATTTGCCGTCTGGGTTCCTTCGCGCAACAACTGGCTTCAGAACCTCAACGTCAGCCAATACGAGTTTGCTGGACAACTGTCAGCCTTTGCCGAGGCAGAAAATGCAACTATACTTGCCGGTAGTCTTTCTTCCGGTGGTCTTGCTGCGGCCGGCGCGGTTGCTCTTCTCTACGACAACGAGCTGAGTCTGGAGCCTCTGCTGACGGATTTCAACACAAGCGGTCAGACCTACACAGGTCTTTTTGATACGAGCTCGAGCAACAACCTCACCATTTTAGGTGGCCACTTCACTACTAAGGCGACCAACGGGTCTGCGATCAATAACCTCGCCATACTCGATGGCAATGCCGCCACCATCCGTGGTCTAGGTGCAGGCATTGACAGCAACTCCACCTTCTTGGCGTTGGCAATCTCAGACAACGTTCTCTACGCAGGTGGAAATGTTACTGGAAGCGTCAGTGGTTCGACAGTGAACGGTCTGGTGGTTTACAGTATGGAAAACAACACGTTTTCCCAGCACCAGCCACCCCGGTTCCTTGGCGACGATGTGACGGTGAATGCCATTGCTGCCCGTCCCAACTCAAAGCACATCTATGTTGCAGGAAACTTTCAAAGCGCGGGGGCTCTGCCCTGCCCAGGTGTTTGCTACTGGGACACAGAAGACCGGCAGTGGAATAGACCAGGCGCGAGTCTGAACGGAACTGTGCTGGCGCTCAAGTGGCTCAACAGTAAGGAACTGTTGGCCGTTGGAGATCTCCACATCGACGGGAACCAGTCCGTAGTCGCGACCTATACCGTCAAGAAACAGAGCTGGCAGACTTTCGAAGGGGCTTCGACCTCTGACATTCCTGGAAGCATCACTGCCTTCACCCCGGCCAACACCGCGGTGTCCAAGTTTTGGCTTGCGGGCGTGTATGCCAACGGCTCCAGCTTCCTTGCCGCCTATGACGGTTCTAGCTTCAGTTTCGTGAGGAACATGTTCGATGACGAAACAGAAATCCGTGGGCTTGAGGTTCTTCCCATCAACAAGAATCACGATGATGTGAGCAACCTGAACGATGACCAGATGCTTCTGGTCACTGGTCGGCTCCAGCTCCCGGACTTCGGAAACGCCTCAGCGGCCCTATACAACGGAACAACGATGAGACCCTTCATGCTGTCTTCCACCTCTGACGGCCAGCCAGGCAGCGTTGCTCACATGTTTTTCGCGGACTCGAACCCCTACACAAGCGGAGGTATGTCTTTCTTCTCATCTAATTTGACTGTAGTATCAAATTCTAACATATTAACCAGGCAAGCACCTGTCCAACGGTATTGTCGTTCTCATCTCGTTCTGTTGTGCTCTTGGCTGTGTTTTCTTGATCGTCATCGCCGGTATCATCTTCAACAAGATTCAACGCCGTCGTCAAGGTTACATGCGGGCTCCTCAAGGAGTCGGAATGGACCGTCCTTCCAACATGCGGAGGCTTCCTCCGGAGTACCTCTTCAACTCAATCAAGCAACCGAACCCGGGCGCACCAGCCATCTAAGTTGAAGGGGCATTTCGGCTGCCCCGGATGCAATACCTTGCTGAAAAGCAGAACGACCATATAATTTGACACACCATCTACCACCATGTTGATTCCAGTCTCATCTGATACCTCGAACGGCGTTCTTGGGAAACAATCCATCATATACCCGATTCATTTTTATTCTTAATTCATGATGTTTGTCGACCTCCTGGCACTTAAAGGAGGTTATTTGTCTTTTTTCACTCAATGTTATTCTCTGCGTGAAATCTTGCTTATGTCCCATCTGCCTGCGCATGCACTGTGCGCATGCATGTTCTATTCGAACCGGACCCACATCGTGGTCCCTTCCAATCCTTGCCATGTTACAGTTGTTGTGATTGTCGTCGTTGTCGAGTGTGATCTTGTTTCCGTATCTATTGTACCATACACTCACACTTTGTCCTATGGACCGGAGTGTGAGCGACCTGCCTTACATTCTCCCTCATCTTCTGAGCCGTGGATGTCATGTTACCGGATGGACATGTACATACATAAGATAAGTTAATCCGCGCGAGTCCGCGGTAATGAACAACATTTTTGTGCATTGACAGCTTTCAACATCGCTTAGTAGGGGGTATCTACATGTCTCATAATTAGGTATTCCGTTAGCGGTTGAGTAGTCAATAATTTCCCGCCCTGCAGGTGTCATGCAGAGTTAGTAGTGGGTAGTATAGATCTCTCCAATTCTTCACTAGTAGAGTTATGTTTACTTCTTCGGGCGTTCAATAGAACCAAACTCTGATAAAATTAATCCATGTCCGCCGTGAAAAATAGAATGAAAATAAATTAAGTATCCTCATCAACTGACATGTGTCCCTTTATGTCTGTCTCTCCACCTTTTGATTTAAGTACTATATTAAATAGCAAGCCTATTTTATGCTACTACAGTGGATGATAGTACTCCTAACTCCTAAGTAACTACGTAGGGTCAAAGAAATCCGAACTCAAACGTGATTGGTGGGGGGAAACGGGAAAGAACGATCGAGATGTGCATGGTTAGTTTAAGTCTGACAGCTTGCTACTAACTAACTTAGTAGTAGTTTATCTAGTCCGATTTTGGAGATTTATCTACATATCTACTTTTTAGGTACTTTTTAGCGAGTAGTAGTAGTATCTATATACTAACCTTCACGTTATTGATCATGTCAGTGTGTAATTACTTACTGTGCTGGTTAAGCGAGAAGGAAGAAGAATGGGGAAATAAAAAGCGGGGGGAGGGAAGGTGCCAGTCAGCATCCCACATTAGGAAATCTAGATGATCGCGTGAGAGGAAAGAGATTTCAAAAAGGAAAATAGAGACAAAAAAGTATGGAACACTAAATTATGGACGAGCAAGCGAGTCAGAGACTTGATATCTGTTAGCTAAGGAGTTAGTTGATCACATGAGGCAGGCACTTTTGGGAAATTTCCCCGCAAGAGACAACCGGAGCAACAAAACTGCGGGCAACGGAATTGGGCCAGACTCTCTCTCCCCCAAACAGAAGGACGGGCAACTTTGGAGTTCTCCAGCTGGAACTAACTACTAGTCTGACTAGTAGTAAGACTGACACTAAGTACTAATTGTTCCCCCCGCTTTTCTTTTTCGCCCGCCTACTCGCTACTTGCTACTTGCTTGCTTTTCTCTTCCCCCGTCCCGCTCTGTTGGTCCATGGGAAAAAGGGAAAGAAAGAAGAAGAAGAGCAAGGGCAGAAAAAGCCGATGCAGTGAGCTCTGTAGCCATCCTTTTTTTTTTTCTGCGCTTCTCCTTTTTGCGCCTCTTTTGTGTTGCCTTGCGATCGTCTCCCGTTCAGCCTCCTTCGGCCTCCCTTCGTCTCTCTCACTCGCGCCCTTCCCTCTCTTCTCTCTTTTTTCCCCAGATAATCGCTCTCCGCCTCGGTTGTCGGGCCTAGTTGACTTTAGGGCGCTTTCGGGCCAGTCTCGCTGGCTGACCTCGCCTTTGCTCGCACCACTCTCACTCACTCAACTCACTCACTCATATCCTTCCCTCCCCAAGAGTTGTGTTGTTGTCGGTTCCCCACTGAGCTCTTTCGGATGCTGCAGCTCACCTGCCAGCGGTCCCAACCGGTATGCGATCCCGCACAGGCTGGTACGTCCAAGATCCAGACATCACTACTCCCTCCCCATGTCATATATTGGGAGATCGGGAACACCCGCCCCCCGACCTCCTAGCAACAATCACCTTGTCCTTCTGCTTCTGTCATATCATCCAGACACTGACTGTTTGGCCCTCTGCCACACTTCTCCGCAGCCTGACGTGTCGTACCCGGAAACTTAAATGTAGGTCTACAACCTTACTTACCATCCCTGCGCTGGGCGGAGATTACAGATACTAAGAAAAGCTGCTGGTTCTAGGTGACGAGCAGAAACCCGAATGCTCGCAGTGTCGTAAAGGCGGCAGGGTTTGTCGCCCTAGCGAGGGGATCGTCTTTCGCCATCAGCAAAATGCCTCGATGAACAAGGATCTGAGCGATGCCTCCACCGGACGTGGCACGCTGAAGGGCTTCTACTCGTATAAGAATACCTTTGACAAGGACAGTGTCTGGCTCGATATCCCCAAACATGGTATGGACCCACAGAACATCCTCGCAGAGAGTCCCGTTGGGCTGACAGGTGCTCTGCCTTTCCTGTAGTCATCTTCGTCGATAACTCGGATCCCTATGCGGAAGACCTTGAAGCTGCACTGGGAGAGTCCGAAGCCGCCATTCTGGCCGCGAACTCTCATGCGCGTGCCTGGAGTGCCCAGCGCACGTCGTCCATTGACGGCGAAACCCATGGCTTAGAGACTCTTTCCACAGTGGCAGCCAACGATCGCCTTTCTTATCCTCCCTTGAGCATCGACCAACAGTCCATCCCGTCAACAGACCACAGCGTACCCTTTAATAATGTCCCATCTACAGCATCATCAGACACTCCAAGCCAGGTGCGCGGCGTCATCGCACCTCAAATCTCTCCTTCTCTCTCGATATCCTCCACCAATACCCATAATAATAATATCAACTTCCTTCTTAATCCTTCACAATCACGGTCACCACCTGTGGATCCCAATCTTCAGCACCCACCCGAGCGTAGGAGCTCATCATTGACCGCCAGGCCAGCACTGCCGCGAACCACGTCTGCCGATTCGAAGTCGGAGGCGCCAGCAGAAACGGACCACGAGGTTGCGTATCTCTTGAGACATTTTTCAGAGGCACCAGGACTTTGGTAGGTCACTGAACCACACCACCCGGCTGGACATCGTTAATTGGATGAATGATAGGATGGATCTGTTCGATTTAGGAACCTATTTCGCATCGTCTGTCCCGGTCAGGGCCCTCCGAAATCCATTGCTGAAATACGCCGCCTGTGCGTACGCTGCGAAGCAACTGGGCCGCATTAAAGGAACACAAGTGTCAACCGGTGGTGTTTATACTAGGCATCTCGCCAACAACGTAGATTGGTCTTGGTCTGGCGCCAAGTATTATGAAAAGGCCATCCAACTCCTAATGAAAGAATTGCAGCCTGATAAAGGACCTCCGCCGCTAAGTACCCCAGAGGCGTTTGGACAGTGGCAGGCTGCTGAACTGTGCGAAGATCAAGAAAACCCTCGCAAGCGCAGGCGACGTTACTCGGACAGTCGGTTCTCGAAGGGGGTCCATTCGGATGAAATCCTTGCTGCCACAGCCATACTATCTGTATATGAATTTTTAGATGCCACAGGTCCGGCGTGGAATCGCCATCTGAGCGGCGTGAAGTCTTTGTTGGATGTAGCGGAAGTGGGAATGATGCCGGTCGAACAGCGGCATTCCCCCGGGGGAACAGCGTTGCAGCAAACCAAGGTCTCGGGGCTCTCGAAGGCGAGAAAGGCGACTTTTTGGAACTTTGCCCGACAAGACTACCTAGCTGCCTGTGAGTGCATACATGACATGCAATAAACTCCCTTCAAGGTGCTAACTGGGATCGATAGTCATCAATGAGAGTCAGACAAGATTAAACACCGACGATCTGGTTTTGTGGACTGAGGCGGGTCTCCATATCGACAACATGGGCTTTGTACGCTCCAGTAATGCGACCGCGATGGGCTATCCAGACGATGAAGAACCCATAAAGGAAGATCTTGTTTCGAATGGCTTAGTTTGGATTCTCTCAAAGATTGTTAACTTTATCAACGCTGGTGATAATGTCCAGTTGGGCCACCCTGGATCAATAGGGGCGGGTCCTCTGGGCCTTTCACAGCAGGTATTGCTGGAGCGATGGTACCGCCTGGAAGCTGAACTCGATGCCTGGTATAATGGACTTCCTGAGACGTTCCAGCCTTGTGCCCGGGTTGAGCTTTCCAAATTACCCCAAAACAGGGACAACCCGAAGTTTGACGCTTCCTCGCTGTCCGAGGTATGGTATAGCCTACCTCTGTGCTCCTCGGCGATGCAGCATTACCATATGGCTCGTATCCTTCTTCTCATAAATAAGCCGCATGAGTCCACCAGCAGAAGGAGCACCATCGCTGATAGACTTAATTCATATCGCTCAATTGAGAGTGATATTCGATTTCACAGCCGAGAAATTGTGGGGATTGCGTTGGCTTGTCCAACCGGCGCGGTCCGCATCAATTCCCTCCAGCCGCTGTTTGTTAGTGGTCAGTGCCTGACGGAGTCCGGAGAACGGCGGACGGTCCTTGCTTTGCTTCACGGAATCGAAACGGAACTCGGCTGGGCAACCGAGTACCGTGTGAATCAGTTGCTCAGAGAATGGGGCTGGAACGAGGATTCTGCGAATGCGAGCGTCCAATGAAGCCTAGAAGGCAAAGTGCCTTGAGTAATGGTGTTCGTCTCAAAGGACTTTCGTTTCACCGAGTCATGAGCACACCTAGACATACTTGCTTCAGGTCTCGCGATTCTCGCCATAACCGTCCACTCAAGGGGACCGAGTCTCAAGTCGACGCCAGCGGGACTTGTAAATATGCGGACCTGCTACATCGACCGCCGCCTAGGACCTGAAGAGCCTTTTAAGCCTTCCCGGGCAGGCCAACCCGGAATGGGTTGCATGTATGTGCATCTGTTTTGAGAATCAGCCTGTTGATTTTGAATGATACCAATGTGTTTTGTGCTTTGAACCATACCGTTGTACCCAGAAACTGCATGAATGCTAATGCCAGGAGAAGGCAAGAACGAGGTGCCTCTCACTACCATCAATTCTTTTCACACCGTGGATCTGTGCTTTCCCTCTTGTATCATGAGTTTGTTTCGAAGCCACATGTTGGCGGTTAGTACTGAGTAGCCATCGAGACAATATGACTCCTCTAGCCCATAAGGCGCAGTGAGCCTAGGAGTAAGAAGGCGGGAAGAAGCTCGAGCGCAGAAGTGGGCAGCAGAAGAAAAAGCAGCTTAGAAAGAGGCCGAGGGCCCTGAGCCTCGAAATTTGCGCCTGGGAATTGATTCGCCGTCAAGCACTCGGCTGAGTTGCCTGCACCTTCCACTTCTGGCAGCTGCAACATCGGGATGCACGTGCCGCCGTTCAGCTTCCCGCCTCCTGATGGAGTCAACTCACTTTCCTCTTCGCAGTTGCTCTCCCTCTCCATCACACCACATCATTGGAGCTTCATACCCCTCGAAAACTGGAGATCGAAAACAAGCGACCATCCCAGCCATCCACATCCCCCCTTCATCAACTCATCATGCTAGCAGCCTAGCAGATGTGGACTCTCTGCTTCTGAATTTCTGCACACATTATCGGCAACGCCTTCAAGCCTGTTGATGATCGCCATGGCCGCCGCGGAAGGTTAACCGACCACCAATTTGCCCCGCGACCCTCTTCTTTTGCTCTTATTTCAAAGTTCAGACATCCATCGTCATTATCGTGAACGATCTTCGTCTTGTTCCTTGGTTGCGTTGCGGCCCTGAACCCACTTTTTCCCCTCTTCCTCCTCCGCCCATCAACTTGCAGATAGATACACAAGTGAAAAGGTGTGGAACAGGCACACACACACACACACCTTTCCGACCATCCCGATTCTCACCGCAACCCTACTTATGGATCTACCTACTCGTACTCCATCCTACACAGTTGAAATTGCATTGCTCTTGTTGATATCGTCACGATCCAACTACCAAGTAAAGAAATATCACCGATTATACCCGCGCGTGCAGGAAAGTCTTCCGACCGGCTAGACTACTTAGCTGGCTTGGTTACCTGTGTCAAGGGGATTAATTCGCTGGCCTTGTGGAGTAAGTTGTTGGCTTAGTGTAGCTTGGTAGAATTTACTAATTGGCCTACTTGCCTTAGTTACTAGGAGTAGATAATGGATAATGAATACCTTGGTAATTCTGCAGCAGGTGCGATATTAATTTGGTTCTGCACACTTTAGGCTACTTTACCTTGGCTCGGTAGACCAAGTTGTAACTAATGCTGGTTTGCTTTCGGGTGAGCGGGATGATCCTACCCTACCCTACTTTAAGTCAACTCTCTCATGAAAATTACTTTGTAACTTCCTACATGGAGTTTTAATAACTACCTTAACTGTTACTCCGTAGTTGGAAAACGAAGTAGTGATTTAGATTTCCCGATACGGGATAGACAACCGACCACCGCAATACATACCTATCTAGTACATATAAACCTCCCGGCTGGGCCTAGTCGGTTATCCCAAAGGAGTAACCCGAAGGAGGAGTAGCAGGTATTGTGCTACGTGCTTCGTACACTCTCCCCTACTGTTAGTACGTTGTTAGCCCAAGAAAATCAAGAATTCGGTTCGGGTGGTTGCTTGATGATCCTGATGGGTTCGTTTGGTTACTATTGGTGAGGGGTATATGCGAGTGTTTGAGACAATGGGGTGTTGTTGTTTGTCACGTGGATGAGGTGTTGGATACTGTAGATAAGTACTACATAGTACTTTACTTACTGACTGTTGCCTTAAGGGGACTTGGTTGATGGTGTCTTATTTGGTCTGGGGAGGGTTTAAGACATAGTATGTATAATGAGTTCAGGCTTTTGGGGGGAGGGGTCTTAATATGCTATTGGTATCAAACCACGGGGATAGCAAGTGATATGGTTATGAAGCATACAGTAATCTAGTTCTAAGATATGATTAATTATAGAAAGGTAATATACAGGGGTCTAATTATTTCTTCCGGAGTCGCTTCGACATCCTCCTTGTTGTCGTTGTCTGTGAAGCTTGTACGATGGTGTTCAGCTTCTCCTTTTCCTTGGTCTCATCATCATCATCTTCTTTCTCGACCTTCACTCCCTCATCATCTGCAGGTCTCTTACTTGGTACAGCTATAGCTGTAGTGACCTTCGTCTCCACCTCGACACCCTCCTTATCATCCTTTTCTACCTTCACATCCACCTTCTTCGACGTAGTCGCAGCCAACCGATCCGAGAATGTCCTCAGATCTGCCGTGAACAGCACACTATGCGCCCACCCCGCTTCTTTGCCCCAGAGCTTGCGGAAGTGGTTTCCCACAGCATCATAAGTAACCTTCGTCAAGGACTTATTCCCCCCCTTTCCGAACTTGTAGTCTCTCTGCGCGATCTGCCAGACTAAACCCAAACACCATTAGCAATCCAACCATGACATGACAAACGGAGCAACCGAGGTAACAAACCATGCGTATCAACCGGAACTGCCTCTCCCCATCCCAACCCCATTAAGCACACACAATCCGCAACCTTAGGCCCAACCCCCTGCAACCCAAGCAACTTCTCATGTGCCTCGCGATACCCCTCTCTCCCCTCGGGTTTCATCTCACCCGCCGGCGTAGCTTCCACTCCCCAAGCCGGACACTCCGGGTTACATAGCGAATCCAACCACCCAGCCTCCCGCTCCTTGGCCACCATCACTGCCGTCTGATAGATATACTTGGCACGGTACCCGAACCCCAGCCCGCGCAACTTACCCTCCACGTCGGTAGCGGTGAGGGCATCCGGGGCCGGGAAACCGTGGTAGGCGCGACCATTGATAGATGCAATGAAGGGGCCGTAGTTAAGGCAGAGCTTCTCGACCATCTGCGAGATGCGCGCAATGTTGTTGTTGCTGCTGCAGATGAAGGAGATCAGGGCTTCCCAGGCGTCTTGGCGCAGGATGCGGATGCCGGTGAATTGGGGAGCTTTTTTGCGGAAGTTGGGGTCTTGGGCGGACCATTCGGTGTAGAGGGAGGTGAGGTTCGCGGAGAGGTTGAAGTAATGGGTTAGGAGGGAGAGGATGGTGTCGTCGTCATTGTTTTTGGATTTGGGGGATTGGGTAGTGCGGTAGGCTCGGTAGTAGAGGTGGGTTGGGTCTTGTTTTAGAGAGAGAAGACGGCCGTGGAGGACGCAGCGCCATTCGTCTGTGTCGGGGACATTGTGCCATCTGTAGATGATATGGAGACCTTGTTAGACTGAATGTCGGGGAAGACGAGGAGGGTACTTGCGGTTTAGTTACCGAAAAGATTGACCACAGCGAAGGGTAGTATTGATGCAGAGTTCATTGAGACTCACGGGCAACTTGCGCCATTCTGAAAAGGCGCCGACAGTCATGATTGAAGTGAATTGAGCAATTACCTGCCCGTCACCGAGGAAGGCGAATGTGAAAGGCACGATAATCGCGATAAGTTGATTCTGCCAGGAAGATTGGCCGACACAGCAGGCGGTCAGGACTCCGCAGACCAGAGGCGCTAACCAATTCGGACGGGAGTGTCGCCGATCGTCACCTGCGAGTTTTCCCTCCAGCGCAGCTCTTACTTTCTCCCCGATCACCCTGCTTCCATCCTTCGGTGCCATCGAGCTTGCCTTTCGGAGTGTCTGATCGTGTTAGATCTCTCTCCGACTATTGTTCGCTGTCTATCCCTTTCGCCACGTGAAACGGGAAAATAAGAGCCAAAGAAATATTGCCGGAGCTTTCAGAATGAACGGCGATACGTACACGTCCAGAGGTGAGCATTATCTTCACCGTATCGTTCACTGCCGCGTATAGTGGCTAATAATTATTTCGCAGATTCTGGTCGCCCTAGGGACTACTACGTGAGTGAAATTTAAACAAGGGTGTATCTGCCCGGAGCTAACTGAAGTGAACGATAGCGCGAAGAGCGTCGCGAGCGCGGCGGCGACAGAGCAGAGAGAGGAGAGAGAAGACGTTCGAGATCCCCCCACTACAGTTCCAGAAGCTCCCGACGCGAATATGAGGTAGATTCGTATTCGTCCAGCCGCGACTACCGCGCCAGAGAACGCGAGGACCGTTATTCTAGCCGCAGAGACGACCGGGAATGGGATCGGGATCGCGGTGACCGTGGTGATCGCGGTGATCGCCGACGCAGAGAATACGAAGATAGACCCTCCCGCCGCGAAAGGGGAGACAGAGATCTGTTCGAGGATAGACCCCGACGGGAAGGCCGGGGAGACCGCGAGCGTGAGCGTGGAGATCGTGCAGAGCGTGGAGGACGTGGAGATCGCGACCGTGGCGAGCGAGGGGAGCGCAGACGGAGTGCGTCGCCTCCTCGAAAGAGGGAGGCCACACCCGATCTCACAGATATTGTGTCGGTGCTGGATCGGAAACGTCGCCTGACGCAGTGGGATATCAAACCTCCGGGCTACGAGAATGTTACTGCCGAGCAGGCGAAGCTGTCAGGTGAGATTGATGTTTCGTTGTCATCTATATGGTCTAATATGGTTATTTTGCAGGCATGTTCCCCCTCCCTGGAGCCCCCCGACAGCAGCCGATGGACCCCAGCCGCCTTCAAGCTTTCATGAACCAGCCCGCCGGCGGCAACGCGGACACATCTACCCTCAAGCCTTCCAACTCTCGCCAGGCCAAGCGTCTTTTTGTCTACAACATTCCCCAGACTGTTACCGGCGAGACCCTTTTGGCCTTCTTCAACGTCCAGCTCAACGGCCTCAACGTTATCGAGAGCGTGGATCCTTGTATCTCGGCCCAGGTGGCCCAGGACCACTCGTTCGCCCTGCTCGAATTCAAGTCGCCTAATGACGCTACAGTTGCGCTTGCGTTCGACGGAATAGCGATGGAGGAGCACGAAGCTGCTGGCAACGGGGCCGCTAATGGTGCCGCTCAGGGCTTGGAAGTGCGGCGACCCAAGGATTACATTGTCCCTGGCGGAGCAGAGCAGGAGTACCAGGAAGGCGTGTTGCTGAATGAGGTTCCTGACTCTCCCAACAAGATTTGCGTGTCCAACATTCCCCACTACATCCCCGAAGAGCCTGTGACGATGCTTCTCAAGTCTTTCGGAGAGCTCAAGTCGTTTGTTTTGGTAAAGGACAGTTCTACGGAGGAGTCTAGGGTACGTACTTAAGAAATGGCTCGAGAAAATGTACTGACATGAACAGGGTATTGCGTTCTGCGAGTATGCCGATCCTTCAGCAACAACCATTGCGGTTGAGGGCCTCAACGGAATGGAGCTGGGCGATAGACACCTCAAGGTTGTGCGCGCCAGTATCGGAATGACACAGGCTGCAGGCCTTGACATGGGCGTCAATGCGATGTCGATGTTCGCCAAGACGACGTCTCAGGACCTGGAGACCAGCCGCGTGTTGCAGTTGCTCAACATGGTGACACCGGAGGAGTTGATGGACCCTGAGGATTATGAAGGTAAGCTTGCCTGATGCATGTAAGAAGCTCTTTACTAACGGGATAGAAATCTGCGATGACGTACGCGACGAATGCTCCAAGTACGGCACTGTAGTTGAGCTGAAGGTACCCCGTCCGACAGGCGGCAGCCGACAGTCGCCAGGAGTGGGCAAGATCTTTGTCAAGTTCGACACGGTGGAATCGACGACGAATGCTCTGAAGGCGCTTGCGGGCAGGAAGTTCTCGGACCGGACTGTGGTTACAACCTACTTTTCCGAGGTAAGACCAACCTATTGAGTCAAATGGTTTTATTAACTTGCTAACCCGTGCAGGAAAACTTCGACGTCAACGCATGGTAATGTAGGATGGACGGTCTATAACACATATCCCCCATTTTTTTTTTATATCATTCTATTTCCTTTGTTATCTTTCATTGCCACTTCATGACGCGTAATTGATTCAAGGCCGACGATGCCTGGGGCAGACGATGCAACAATCTGTACTGGAAGTTAAATTTACTGGAGATGGAGGACAGTGGTGGTTGCGATGCGCTTCCTAGTACTGTGTAGGGGTTACGATGTATCATAGCGAATGTACTTGGATCTGACATGCTTGAAGTAGATGATTTGGAGGTATTGCCGAATACCACTGACGGTCATCCCATACATCCCCATGCCATATGCTGCCGATTTAGTAGTAGTCTTTACCTACATTATCACATTCTCGTGTTCCATCTAATGGTAGTACATATCTAGAGTGTAAAGAAGCATATCGGGGAGCAGCTGAAGCGGTAAGGAGTAGGAGGCATGTTAGATAGTATCTCATAGCCAATTGATGGCTAGCCGTCAATGCTAAAGGAATCCGTGGCGAAGCTGAAGTTGGCATGGAGTACAAGACATGTTACACAATCGTCAGGAGCATTTCAATAATTTGTTAGTAGGACATGCTTGTCCATATCTTTATAGATACAATCATGATGTTTAAGTTGAATATTTCAAATCCAATATATAAATAATTTCGTTATTCACCCGTCAGCCATGTACTAAACTGCCAGCAAGCTATCTCTTCCCATTCCATTGCAGTCTCTACTACTTCAACACCCTTCAAGCAGTTGCACTTAGCAGTCAAGATGATGGTCCGCTTCGCTCACGCTTTCGTTTCTCTACTTGGTTTGCTGCCATTTGCCATGGCACAGACCCCCCCTCAAGTACTAATATTCATGTCAGGTACAAAAGAAATTGGCTCTCCTGGGATGAGTAGTCTTTACAACATTGATTGCTATGACAAGTTGGTGAATATCGCTTGTCTCACTCCTGCGCAGAACTCGTACTAACAGAAGGTCGTTATGCGTACGGTTCAACCAAAGCGATATTAAGCATGCAATGAACCACTTGCCGAACCCAATCACATATTCCGCTACTAGTACTACGAACAGTTAAGTGTCAGTGTCCCTCGGCACATTACACATTCCCACACGGCAAAACATGCAGAACCCGAGGACGATCGATTTCCTAGTCGATTGAACCCCGAAGGATGATCACTCTGGTCCCCGATGGTTAGTCTGGTTCTAGCAAAGAAGCGAGTAATTAGTTCCTCGGAAGGTATGCACCGTTGATTCTGTAACTACTTTGTAGATACTTGAATGTATAGTGGGTATACAGATAATGCTATAGTCCCCACACATGTAGAACTTACATTAGTTATTATCAACTACACTCATAACTCAATCACATAGTACTAAACAATTACTCATAAAGATGGTAAGCACTACTCCCGCCATAATAATCCCTCAACTGATGATTCACTACCACGAAGTACTTCGTAGTTAGTAGTTCTACTCCTCGGCTTAATATACTCCAGTTGACCCTGGTAATTATGTTAGTATGGTGGAGAGGTGCAGGGATTCGGATCTTTTTAATTCTGCCGCTTATATAATGATTATTAATAAGATTATTAATACTTTGTATGGTTATCCTCCGCGCTGATCACTGCTTGGCATCTTGCAGGCATGCTATTAATTAAATTATTCAAGAATACCTCTGGTAAAGCATCCCACGCAGCTTATATAGTCTTATATAATTAATTATATAATAACTGCTCATCCTGGGAGAAATAACACTCCATCCAGTCTTTTATCCAGTTCCAAACAGCTTCAATTAGGTTGAGATCTGGTAAGAAAGCTGGCTAAATAATTAGAAAAATCCTATACTCATTAAACTCTTAAATAGAGATTTTATTTATATAACCAGACGCGTTATCTTGCATTAACTGAAGTTGTTGATATTCATTATATTCAACCAAGCGCATGAAACCATCAATAATAGGAATAATATAATTAATATAATTATCAGTATTAATAGTCCTCTATTCTTTCTCCCAAAACAGACATGTGTCAAACCCTAGGATCGCTTCCCTGTCCCTGTTAGCTTAGCTTCACTGGTATACGTACCGTCGAACTGGGTCGAGGAAGTATCAGGCTGATGACTATTTAAGGACAACTGGTCTTGGACACGAGAAGAGAAGTAAGGCCAGATAGTGCCGCGCAGCTATCCGTAAGTAAGTGCGGACGAGTGTTCTATCGCTAAGCTTCCAAATGTATGGTTACTTAAAGACAGTGTTATTGAGCACGAAGAACAGAACTAACTAAGTACATGAAAGAGTGTCCTTATATCCTATCCTCCGTATACCACATCGTATACCATTCTGGGTAGATCGATGGTCGACCCAATCGTAGTCCAGGGTTCCAGTATACCTTAAGTATACCCTTAATGGTAGGCTTGATGGTAGATGGTCACGTGATGCGTGGCCGTTTCGGGCGTCGTATTGGCAATTCGCAATTGTACTAAATAACAACTTGGCTTTGCCCGAGCGCTGCCCTTATCGGCGCTTTCTGCCTAGCGAGTCCGCCTTACTAGTAGATTAACTAGCAGGGGTCCGTAACATCACTTCCCCTCCTTCGAGGTTTCTTGTCCTCAAGAAACATAAAGGTGCGT